TTTGGTTGGGATAGTTACAATGCATGTAATGTCCACAATGCATCGTTTTTTTGAATTTTCTGCGCAAACAATACATGCATTGTTTGCTTGATTTGACACAAACTATCACTCAAAATGAGTGATAGTTAAATCTCAAGTTTTCGTTGAGATTGTTAAGATTGTTTGATGGAGATTGTTGTGTTTTCTTCTTCTTCCAAATATGTGCCTATCTTTTTATGTGTGTTGCTTTTTTATATTAAAAACAAAGGGTAAAAGTGACATTTCACCCAAAAAGTGATATAATTTATTTAAATACTACAATAACTATCACAGAAACCAAACGATGTAAACTACAATACACCAATTTTCTTATATACATGTATATTTATGCATGCATTGATGACAATACATCGATTTTACTATCACCAAAACCAAACGACCCCTTAGTTATGGTGATCGATATACATGTTTTGTTGTGGTTAATAGAATCAAATATACTTTATCCTGGTGGTTGAACATTTGAAATGATGATAGTTTGACCTCATAGGTCATATGTTCAAATCTTGGTGATGATGATTGATATGCATGTTATTTAGTTTTATTTTAATGTAACTGATAACTTAAAATATTAAAAATGACATGGAAAATTGTGGAGCTTTCGTTGTCCTACGTGGCAAAAACTTGCTCCACAACGGTCATTATATAAGTTAATTAATTAATTAATAGATAGATAGATGCAGTATGGCACTGCTCAATTTGTGAATGGCGGAGGTTTCCATCGGTGGGACTTGGGAGTATCACTGTTGATCTTTGACCAAGCTTTAAAAAAATTAGGCTGAATTTATGCTACACCATGAATTTCGATGCACATTACATTTATATCACTATTGTTTGTAAATGTTTAACAAAAAAAAAATTTGTAAACCTTTTTTTTATTTACAAAAGATAATCATATATTGATTCAGCAAAGAGATAGTTACATCCTGGAATTTAGCCAGGTCGGAAAATCAAAGGACCGACTCATATCCGGGTAAAAAGAGAGGGCATTTCTAGCCACTACATGGGCTACCCTATTGTTCTCCCGACCTACGAATCGAATACTAAAATACTACACTATTTCCGCAAGAACAACACCCATCCTGTTGTCCCTAGTGTCTGTCAGATTGATTTTTTCAACAATGACCTTGGCATCCCCCTCAAAAATGACGTCCGAGAAACCCAACTCCAGACACCAAACAATAACTTCCCTGAGCACGAGTAGTTCCACTACCATGGGGTCATCAATTGCTTGGAACTGAACTCCCTTTGCCATGTGGATTTCCCTAGCTGGATTAGCAAGAATCATCCCTCCTACCGAATGAGACCCCCTTCTCGTGGGCCCATCCCACATACAGAAAACCCTACCAGCCCCCACCGGACCCAGACGTCCCGGTGCTGGTGGAATAGCCTTGGGAGCCCGGCTAGTAGACAAACCAACCCATTTCGCATATTGCTGGTTAAACTGCCGCATCAAGGTAGGTATCCCAAATTTATTGCCCTCAAAGACAACCCAATTCCGAGAACGCCAGATCCGCCAGAGGACAGCCATTACCGCCATAAACAAAGGCGGGTGACTTATCAAAGCCATGACTCGTTTAAGATATAAAGGGAAAGTATGCCGAGGCAAACCCTCCCTCCAGACCCGAATAATCCCAGATGGCCCTTGCCACAAGACAATAGAGAAACAGATGCTCTAACGTTTCAGAGGCCTCCCAGTAGACCGGGCAACGAGGATGCACCGGGACCTTTCTTTCTATGAGGGCTTCTGTCGTCGGGAGAGCACGATTGAAGATCTGCCAAACAAAAACTTTTAACTTTTGTGGAATATCAGCATTCCACAATCGAATCCAACTAGCCTTATCCATCCAACTCGCCAACGCTTTCCACCCACCCCTCCTCCTATCCAGGGAAACAGCTAAATGGTATGCCTATTTGACCGAGAAAACCCCATGAACTGTGTCATGCCAGATCAGCCTGTCCTCCATATCCATACGCGGAAGGGGAATTGCTAGGATGGCACGACATGTCATCGGGTCAAACCATTGACGCAGTTTCAATTCACACCACCGCCCCTCCCCTTGAACCATAACCTCAGCCACCAGCGGATCCCCCCCAGCCGGAATGACTCTTGGATTATACCTAGGTGGATCAAGCTGCAACTGAGGTATCCAATTAGAATGGAGCAGGGAGGCAGAGCGCCCATTCCCCATTTTCCAACGTAAGCCCATCTCCAACAAATGCCACCCCCACAAAGGGCACGATCGAGCCTTAGCGTGAAGGAAGGTGCCTCTCGGGAAGTACTTACCCTTGTAGACCTTAGCCAGGAGGAACTCCGGGTCAATCAGGATTCGCAAACCAATTTTGGCAAGAAGCGCCTGATTAAAGTGTTCAAAGATATGAAATCCCCTCCCCCCCCCCCCCCCCCATGCTTGCTCCTACACATATTGCGCCAGGATACCCAACGTACCTTCGAATGGCCCTCAGTAGCCCCCCACCAGAACTGGGCTACATGTCTATCCAATAGACGACATAGGGATAGAGGCAACTTGAAACAGAACATCACATGCAACGGCAACGCCAGAGCGATTGATTTAATCAATGTTTCTTTCGCCACCCAGGACAATGTCCGTTGCTTCCATCCCTTTAACCGCTCTAACAATCTCTCATCCAAATACCGAAAAGTAGCCATTTTGGACCTAGCAATTAGTGTTGGTAGGCCTAGGTACTTATCCTGGACCCCTACCGCCCCAACACCTAAAATTGCGGCAAAAAATTCCTGGTCAGGCGGTGCAATATTCTTGCTAAAGCAAACTGCCGACTTCGCCAAATTAACTCGTTGGCCACTAAGGTCCTCATATTCATTTAAGACCTCGATCAGATTGTCACATTCCTGGAGAGTACCACGAAGGAACATATAGGAGTCATCAGCAAAGAACAAATGCGAGATCTTGGGAGCCTGTGGAGCCACCTTCACCCCATCGAGCTTCTTCTCAGAGATAACCTTGCGGAGGAGAGCCGCAAAACCTTCTGTGCATAACATGAATAAGAGGGGGGAAAGAGGATCTCCTTGACGTAAACCCCTAGAGGAAGTGAAATAACCCGACGGAGTACCATTCATCAGTACCAAAAAAGATGAGGACCGCAGACATTCATGTACCCATCCTTGCCAGACAGAGTTAAAAACCATCTTATCCAAAACCGCTAGAAGAAAAGAACATTCGAATCTATCATAGGCCTTTTCCATGTCAACCTTTAGAGCCATGTATCCCTTCTTACCTTTCGTTTTGATCTTCAGATAGTGTATTAACTCATGCCCAAGGAGGATATTGTCCACTATCTGTCGTTCTCTAATGAACGCATTTTGCCCCTCCGAGATGATTTGAGGAGAAAGGAAGCGAGCCGCTCAGCCATGATCTTGGTTATGATCTTATAAAAAAATTGACAAAGGCTGATTGGCCGCATGCTTCATAGCTTCGACATTGTCCACCTTTGGAATCAGGGTTAGCCAAGTGTGGTTAAAACTCCGGAGCAGCCTACCCGTTAAAAAGAAAGAGCAGACCGCCTCAATTACCGAAGTACCCACAATATCCCAGAAGGCTTTAAAGAATTTACCCGTAAAGCTATCCGAACCAGGTGCCTGCTTCGACCCCAAGGAAAAGACTGTCTTTCGAACCTCACTAGGCAGGACATTAGCCGTCAAGGCAGCATTCATCTCAGGAGTAATATTACGATTAATGGGGAGGCAGCCACCTGCTCAGCCATATTAGGGATTTGGGATTCCGAGGTAAAAAGAACCTGATAAAAACCAGTGGTAATATATGCTTTCCCGGTTTCCTCAATAACCCACTCTCCACTATCATTCCGAAGGCTGGAAACAAAGTTCAGTTTACGACGAGCCCGCGTAACAATATGGAAATAGGAAGTATTTTTATCTCCTTTTTTCAACCAGTGGACTTAGGATTTCTGTTGCCAGTAAACCTCTTCAGCCTCCCATTGACGATTAAGTTCACTCTCCAAGTTTCGAATAATATCCCAGTCAATTGGATGGGACCGCTTAATCCGCTCAATCTCAGCTTGGAGAGTTTAATGTTACGCAGGGAATTGGTAGTGCCCGCTCTACTCCAATCATACAGCATATAGCGAAGCTTCTTCAGGCGTTCCCAGGGTCAAAACATAGGGGTGCCTTGAATCTCCTCTTTCCAAACATAGCATATCATAGCCTTCACCTCCGGGTTATCATCCCAACGGGCATCAAAGCAGAAAGGGGGAGGCTAGTGCGAGTATACGCCTTGTCGGAGAGAAGAAGGGCACGATGGTCGACCCTTGGTCCGTAAAATGTTTGACGAGGGTCTCCGGGAATTGACCAATCCAGGTCTGGGAGCATAGGGCCCTATCCAAACGTTCACGGATACAAGCAGGGCCCATTCGTTTGTTCGTCCACGTGAACTGATCACCATGGTAACCAGGATCATGGAGCCCCAAATCCTAAACAAAGTCACGCAAACCAAGGGCCTGAGAAACATTCCATGCCAACCCACCATCCTTTTCACCCTCATGAAGAGTAGCATTGAAATCCCCAATGACAGCATAGGGATGGTGAATGTTTTCACAAGTTTCGCGCAGATTAGCCAGTTGGGCCTCTCTCAAAGAGATACGACAGCTCATATAAACAAAAACCACAACACAGGAAAAATTTACTTCATTAATTTGAATGCAAATAGAGAAATCGGAATGATAAAACACCGAAGTGTCAACTCTGAGGGACCAAGCAGTTACTAAACCACCAGATGCATTGACTGCATCAACAAAGAAACAATGAGAAAGAGAAAAACCTAAATCCTGCATACGATGGGACACTACTTGCCGGCTCGACCTTGTTTCAGAAAAAAACACAAGATCCGGTTTATTAGAATGAACCAAATCTACAACAGTTTGGAATGTGAGTGATGGCCCAATTCCCCTCACATTCCAGGCAAGAAGCCTCATTTATTCCCTTGGGGCCGCTCTAGGCTGGCTTCCTCCACCTTTTTTCCAACTTCAGCAAATTCCACAAAAAGTTTCTTAGAAGTAGGAGGGTCACCCACATCTCCCTCTAAGACATCCAACGAACGCTTCTGGTTCCCAGGCTCAGGGTCCAGAAGGTTCGACCCATACTCATTGAGCCGGGGCGAAGCATTCGCACCTGACGCCAAATGCTTTTCTTGAGGAACACGAATGTCATGCCCACCTATCCGAATAGATAGAGATTCTCCCTCCACAAGCTCCACGATTCCACCCCTCTCAAATGCCTCCACCACTTTGCTTACATTACCCGTTGGAGGAAGACGAGATCGAGTGGGAGCAGCCAACGGCGAACGCCTCTTGATTTCAAAAGCAGTCTTATCTTCGGGAGAGTAGCAATCATCAGAGTCCAGCACACCCTCCGATGGGCAAATGCCTGAGTCCGCCAAAGCATCTTCTTCTTGGTGTGTCGCGCCTGCCACCCCATGCACAGCATGATCATCCTGGGCGGCCCGCTTCTCCTCACCACTAGCAGTCAGCTTCCTCAGTCGGCGACTCGTACCGAGGGGAGCCACTGCCTGCACGCCTCCTTTTTGGCCAGCCGCGAGATTCTTCTTCCCCAATGCTCCAGCCTTGAGACCCCGAGTGGTCATGCCACCCGCTTTGAGTTCAGGCTGAGGTGGGAGCTTCTCGTCGCGTACCTGCATGGGAGATTTGGGAGATGATCTCTCGCCCTTCATGCCATTAATGGCGCCGCCGATTTCATCCTCGGACTCATCCGCCATTATGAGGCGCCGAAGTCGGGTTTGTGCAAGGACTGCGACAGTCTCATCAGCTTCCTCTAGGTGTTGATTAGCTCTCTTGTGTCGATGTCTCGTAGGGGTTGTGTTCTTTTTAGTTCGTTCAGCACCATCCTTGGAGACCCATGCCGTTGTTTCTTCCGGCCACCATTACCCAGTTGGACTCGCGGCGATCGACAAAGCTTGAAGCCTCGAGGGCTACCCCGCCGCCCAGTCAGAATACTGCTGGCTTCATTAACCTGATGTTGACCCTCTTGTTGGCGGGTTTTATTCTCCAGACGGACGCAGGGCAGGTTCTCCAAAACGGCTGGCTTGTGTCTCCCTTCGATAGCCTGATCACGGAGCACACCACTACTTCCCTCGTTATTTCCCCGAGTATTACGATTAATCCACATCATTTTCCGGTCTTGCCGAAAGCTTGAGTCATCATCCTCATTGTCGTACAGTTTCCGGCCAAGCTTCTTCGTGGACATGTGAGGGCCAAAGCGCTCTTTCCTCGGGGGGGGGGGGGGGGGGGATCAAAGGTGCAATCAGGCTTGGTATGACCCACTCGTCCATAATAGTAACAGAAACTTGGCAAGAATTCATATTTCAGGCTGACCCAGAAACAACCAATCTCTTCACTCGCTAATATGATTTGGGATCAAAGAGGCTTAGTCAAGTCTATGAGTGTTCGAATTTTTACAAAGCACTCATTGGTGTCATTGGATTCAAAGACACCGGTTTCCAGGACCTTCCCAATAGTACCATTTGATAATTTGTGCCCAAACTGCTTCGTACATCTATCATCTAGAGTTGAACTAGAAACGGCGCAATGGCCAGTTCCTCAAACGTGAGTTTGGTAACCTTGGGTGACCAGGAACGAAGGTGGAGAACTCTATCCAGCACCACCCAAGGGGTCCGTTTAAGAACCCATATCCTGGCCTCATCCCTTGGCAGGACTATCTCAAGGAGGCCATGTTTCGCCATCGATACTCGGACTTGTCCCTTAACCTACCATGCGGAAATCAAAGCATCCCGAAGCTCCATTGGGTCAACCGGGTTATTCGTGAATAACCTACCCAGAAGGGTACGGGAAGTATGGAACTTCACCGATTGAACCTCTGACAAAGAGAATTGGACCACCTGATCATCCGCAATATGAGACATGGCGTCAACCTGAAGCAAAGGGATATGCAAACTGTTAAGACTAACAGGCTTAGCCTCACGACTTACCCCTCCTAGCTGGCCCGAGGCACTCAAACAGGGGGAGGGGAGATCGCTTTTTGTAACAGGGTGATCAGGAAGGTTAAGCGAATGAGCATCTAAGGAAGAGGATTGAGCAGGAAGCTCGATACCTGCAGGATGCTGGCAATCACGTTGCTGCTGAAGGGCTCACGTTGCTCTCGACACGTCCTGATTTTTGCAAATTGCAAGAGTGCACAGAAGGGGAGAAGGCCTTAAATAAGTTGGCCACGCGGCCTTGTAGAGACGTGAATAGTTTTCTGTAGGCCCAATCCAAAGAGTTGGATTAGGAGTAAAATACCCACTTAGGGGTTTTTTTTAATTTCTGTTATTAGGATTTGTAATCCAGATATTGAATCCCCAAATCCCGGCCAACGCAGGCCGGAAATCCGGGAAGCACCCACCACGCATCTTCCACAGAAACTTGGTTCCTGTGGTAGATGGCCGACGGGCGACAGCGGGGGTGGTTGCCCTAGGGCTCATCAGGTCGCCAGCGGTAGCACGTCCACAATTAACATTTGACTTCGCCAATCCAAGAACAGCCATGGGAGTCGAGATCACATCCCCGAAGGGTGGAGTTGGAGCCAAGAAGGTTTGGCACAAAGCAGCACTCGTGGCATCATTCTGTTTACAAGCACCAGTTCCCAGAGATGAATCCCAATTCGAAACCTCATAATCTAATTCCAGCGAGGTAGGGAGCCAGAATCTCCACCCACCCCCTATTTGGCGTCTACGTTTTCTACATAGTTGTCCACTTTTGGTTTCGGTGCCACCATCGGCAATCTGACGTTTACGTTTCTCCTTTCGACAGAAAACCGCGGCGGTCGGATGACGTACTCCGTCGTAATTAATTTGTCGAGGGGGATAAAGAATCCCAAGGTCTTCATCACCATTCCCCGAATCTCCCTTACCGAGGAAGAAACCATCATCCCTGGCTTGACTTCTTCTTCTCGCCTGATTTGCTAGGCTAGCATCGAGGAAGGCCACGATGATCTGCAGAGTCCAGCGCCCCAGCAGAGAGCAGCGGACGAGGAGAGAGGAGAGAGCACCTCTCATTCAGTTTTTTTCCGTGTAGGCTAATAATTTGTAAACCTTAAAAAATGAATTTTTACATATATTTTATGTAGGATTTACAAATCTCCTGATAACTTGTGCAAACTATTTGTAACCCTCAAACAACGTAGTGTAATCCCCAAACAAGGATTCATAAATAGTTGTGCTATCAACAACTTGAGATAAAATATTTTGATTTGGATGTTCACCTTAACACTAGGGATGACAATTACCACCCATGGATAATTCTACCGAAATCCAAGTAAACCCATTAGTTATGGGTAGAGTATGGGTGAAGTCTATATTTGTATGGAATTTTGTAAGCGAAGTTGGGTAGGGTATGCAAAATAGGGATCTATTTGTAAAATTTTAAAAGTTTGTGTATTCAAAAGTACGACACAAAATTTTAGGTACCAATTGTAATTTTTGATATGTTGAAGACTTAGATGCAAAAAATTCAATTTAGGTACTAAATTTAAAGATCCATTAAATTTAGATACTAAATTGTAATATACATATGGGTATTAAATTCTATTCATTTACCTTGTATTTGAGTTTAATACCCAACTCTATTATTCAATTGAAAAATATCCATGAATTTAGATAAAATTGTCATCCCTACTAAATACTCGAGCTAGAAAGAGAGAGAAATATTAAAAACGTATCATAAATCATAATAGTCATGTTTGAGGAGAGAGAAGGTGGATGAGAAGTCACATTGATCGGTGTAATGAACTCCTTTTGAAAACGTTGGTCTGGATTTCTAGGTCAAGGGGACATGAGCAGGAAGGATTGGAAGGATATGTATGCAATGCATTGCAATTTGCGAGCCCCCAAAATCAAGGCCATTAACTTGCGGGAAAGCAAAGCACCTTCTCACAGAAAGCAAACTTCTATAAAAAATGTCTAATTAATGTACTAAAAATATCGGGCCCCTTTGGCCAAGGATTCGAAGTTACGCCAAAAGTCGCACCAAATTGAAAAAGAAAAGAGAAGAGGAAGAGAAATTCATGAGAGTATTTTTATTCCATTCTATTTCCATGCAATCAAGTGCCCCGTGAAGTTTTGATAATCATGGCTAATAATGGAACCCACCTCCCATGCCCGAAAACCTTATGTATATTCTAAGAAAGTAAACCGCCTTTTGTTTTTCATTACCTTTAGTTCACTAATACTTAGAGCTTTGTTGGAGGACCAGATGGCAATTGAATATGAACTTAAAGGGTATTCAATCGGATTTAACTTAGTCAAAATGGGTTAAATACAATTTGAGTTAGTGTGAGACGCCTTACCTGCCTTTTATTAGGTTGGATTTGGATTTTGTCAAAATTCAATCCGATTTTAATCTGATTCGTATTTAAAATGTAAAGTAACGTTATTTTATATCTAACATGAATATTATGAATATTTATGGATGTTATTAGTTTTTGTGTCGGTATAAATCAAACAATATGGATAGTTTATGAATGTTGTTATTAGTCTTTATAGAGATATATATGTGTGGATTTGTTTTAATAATATAATGATGTGGGTGTTGGGATAAATAATGTATAGTTATATTTGTGAATCCATGGGTACCCATACACCCATGTGTACCATTAAGTTGAGTTTGCTATTCTAAAACCTAAACAAGTATTTTACCTAATTTCTTAACGAGTATATAAAGTAAAATTGGTTTGTATTTAACGGGTCGTTTGGATGCAGTATTTTGATAAGGTAATTTGGTCGAAATAACTCAGAATGAGGTATTTCAATCAAAATAACTCGTTTGGCAAAAATAAAGTTGAATGTGGTATTTTGTCCATGAGACAATTGAAATAACTCATTGTGAGTTATTTGAAATACCTACCCACCCCCTAGTTATTTCAAATACCTCATCTCCCAACTACCACAATATTTGGGAGATGAAATACCACAATATTTGAATGTTTTATCCAAACAAGACAATTACACCAATTACCACATTTCAAAATGAAATACCACATGAAATGCCACATAGCAAAATAATGCATCATTTGGATTCAAAATACCATAGAACCAAAATGATGCATCCAAACGATTAGAGAAATTAGACCCAACTCAATTCAAATCAAGCCAATGAAGCATGACACTAACTCAGGTAGCATGTAGCTACTAGCCTACTGTTACTATTGAGCCAGCTTGGAGTTTGGAGCTGTAGCGTCTTTTATCAAACTCGAAAGTTCGAACAGACGCAACATGTTTAGTATCGAAGCTGCTCACCATAATATAGGGATCGTTTGGTTTTGGTGATTGTTTGATAGGGATAGTTACAATGCATGTATTGTTCACAATGCTTTTTTTTTTAATTTTCTGCACAAACAATACATGCATTGTTTGCTTGATTTGACACAAACTATCACTCAAAATGAGTGATAGTTAAATCTCAAGTTTTTTATGAGATTGTTGATATTGTTTGCTGGAGATTGTTGGGTTATTTTTTCTTCTAACTATGTCTCTATCGTTTTATGTGTGTTACTTTTTAATATTAAAAACAAAGGGTAAAAATGACTTTCACCCAAAAAGTAATATAACTTGTTTAAATACTACAATAACTATCACAGAAACTAAACAATGTAAACTATAATACACCAATTTTCTTATATGCATGCATATTATTATACATGCATATTATTATAGATGCAATAATGATAATGCATTAATTTAACTATCATCAAAACTAAACGAAGATTTTGTAACGGTGTACCTTGAGGGGAAACACCTTAATACTATATTGAACCGAACCGGTTCAAAAATTGCACTATCACCATTCCTTGACACCATTCACAACACAGTTTGAGCAAGAGTAAACTAGTTTCAATTTCGATTGTTTAAATAGATGGAAAATTATTGTGATCAATTTAATCCGTAGTATTTTGTTAATTTGGTTATTGGTTTTATTTGGTTAAAATAAGCTGCTAATTTGTTTTAGTTGGTTTGATGTGGTTAAAGATCCTATAAATCAGTCAAACATAGGCGGAGACAGTCTTTATTAGGTGTGTCACTGGACACACCTAGTTCTAAATATAAAAATAATCAACCTTTATATACGCATATATAGATGATAAGACTCATCAACACCTCTAAATGTCGAGTTAGTATTTTGTCACTGTATTACAACTCATTCCTTCTAATTTTATTGACTTAAAATTTACTCATAATATTATAAGCTAAATCTTCATTTGCATTAACTCTCTAATCGACTTCTCTACTTCTCACTTAGCCTGCTGTGGGTCCTTTGCTCTGCTTGGGGGCTCTCAAGTTTGGTTTCCTTGTTTGTGCTCATTTTCTTTCCTGTAACTTTCTCCCTTTCCTGGCCCTCTTCAGTATTGTTGTCTGTTTTTGTTTTCTGTTTGTGGTTTTGAAGATTGGAGAAACCAAGAAAAAAAAACATGTTTGGTTGGATTTTTATTTTTTGTTGTGAATCAGATTTGCACAACAGGGCCCAAATTTGAGAAACAACAATTTATTGCTTTGGATTTGATTCTTTTACATGTTTTACACGGGATTCCCGTTTGTTTTCATTAAAACAACTCTCAATTCGAATCTCACCTAAAGCAAAAAAAATTCTCATTTTTTTAACTCCCAAACCCACCTCCAAACCCTAGTCGGCCAACCCTACCCTCATTTTCTCCCAAACCCGCCGCCCAACAGCTCTTTCCCTCTCTCAACTTCTTCCTCTCGAGACCCAGGCCGCCGATATCGTCCATCTCCCCCTCGCCGCCGATTTCGTCCCTTTGCCCCCGTCGACTCCCTTTCCCCTGTCGCCCGACCTCGCAACACCTGCCTCCTCCTCCTCTCGATTCCCGTCGCCTCCCTTTCCTTCCACCACCTCCTCTCGATTCCCCGCCGACGACTTCGAATCCTTTCCTCCCGCCGTCGCCTCCTCTCTTTTCTGATTTTTAGTTCTAATAGTAGTAACTGAACGTTTTTGTTTCTTGTTGTATGTTTCATTATTTTTCAGATTATCCACTAAACATGTTTGTGTTTTCTGTTTTTTTCCTGTTGTGGTTGTACATATATTTACACAACACCACTGCAACCACAACAGCAACAAATCGATTCTAAACGGGGCTGACTTTGTAATTGTTTTGTACTCTGGTTTTTAGCGGTTTCTCACGCCTTGTGAGAACCTGCTCTTGAACCTTCCTCTTTTATTTAATTAAGTTCATCATCATTATAAAAAAAAAACAATGAATGTATTTTAAAATTTTGTTCATAATATAAAAACATCGTGATTGTTTATGCAAATGAAAATTCTATTAGACAATTATTTTTTTACTATGAATAAATTATTTCAGATATTATGATTTTAAATTAGATGTATTAAATATTTATTACAGGTTTATATTTCGAACAAAACACACCTAATTTAAATTTCTAGTTCCACTAAGACAATCAAACCAATTAACCAATATATGTACTATATTGTCTTCTTTAATATAATATGGCAAACTCATGGTATGCCCCAACCCAAAATTAATCGACCACCTTATTGCTATTTTTGTGGTTGGTCCAAAATTAATTTCCCACAATCACAATCATAGTTAAATGAGAAAGCTTCCTTACGGGGAAAGATGATTAGGCCAACCCGATAGCCACAATCTATGTTAGCTGAATCCTGAACCCATGATTGTAGTAGTTAAATTTTCATTTTATTTTTTTGTTTATTATCTAAACGAGTATTATTTCTTCAATATATTGTCGATTTGATGCTATGTTACATTGGTTTGCATGATTAACCAAATTGATTAACCTGTGTTCGGTTTATTTGATTGTTAGAATTAAATTGGTCGATTAGTTAAGATATTCTCTTCCATGGTCAATAAATTTTGGACTTTAATATTTAGTAATAGTCGTGCTAACCATTTGAACCCGTGCTTGTAAACCGTACTGGCGGTCCAACTAAAAGAATTTCCTACTGAAAGTAAACTGGTAAACGAATTTTTATATTATAAAACATATGTACCACAATTTCAATATAAAATACCAATACAACTTCAAATACGATTTTACAATACTTGATTTGAACATCCCTAATCTTAACGTGCTTGTTTGCCAATATTTTGTATATGGGCTTGACCAGTACTTATACCCAACAATGAGGCCCAATATTATATCCCAAGCTTCTGTTCTCCTGAGTCTTGATTAAAACATGAACCATTAGAAGGATTTTGGGTAACTCCCGCATCGACCGCTTCAGTGAGCCTAGGTAAAAACGATAGGCCCACCAGCCCAAAAGCAGCGCTGTGGCGGTTCGTAAAAGAAATCATTTTGGTTTAGAAGTTTGTCGTTATCCGATCCGATATTCATGCATACTAGCGTGGTCCCGGTCATTTGGTCGGAGGAAGGTGAAGTATGAAATTTGATAATGTAATAGGGTGTATAGCTTATTGTTGTATTGTTTTTTTTTTAAACACGTGATAAAAATAGTGAATTTTAGTAGAAAAGAGACATGAATGATGTAAAGAATAAAAATCAGCCTTATGAACCAAAATCAAGTACCTGTTACCTTGTGAAACAATATTGTTTCTGGTAATATGATGAGGTGGAATAAGTTTTATAGAAACCGAATTCCAAAAAATCGAATAAAAAATCGCTTATCCCTCCGGTTTTCGGGAAATGAGCATCTCACAATCGTTGCTAGCTTTTACTCGGCTCGTTGGACGATTAATTTGCTTTATAAAACTTTCATCTTGTTATCATTGTGCTTTCTGGTTTTTTGCCAAGCCATGATAAAATCTAAAGAAATCAAGAATGAACAACACGATTTGGGATAGGAACCACCGTTCCTGTATCCCTAGAAAATGGTGGTAAACACGGACTCACCTGCCAAACTGGTTTGGATTGAGATTTTTATCGGGTATTAGGGAACCATGTGATTATAAATTAGACTTGATCAAAACGGACCAAAACTTGAAATTGAGCATGTTTGACCGACCCATGCCAAACTCTCATTATTCTTTACTTTTAAACTTTTAATTTGAAAATAAAAATAATGAAAGAAAAGAGATGACTGCAATTTGCCATTTGTGCATCACTGATTCGGGAATAGAACTATAGAATTTCGAAAGGAAACTGAAAATGTTTAGGATCATTTTAATGTTAAAAATAACCAAATAGATCTTTCTGTTTAGTTTTTTACTAACAAATACCAAACGATTCCCTATAATATACATTATAATTTAATCATTATGATATCAAATAATTACATAATATATATGTGAAATGATAAAAATTGGACTAATTGGGTGGTCGAGGTTGAACCATTCAATAACTTTAAAATACATTTAGGGCTGTCAATTTGGTTTGGTTTGGTTAACCAAACCATTAAGTATGAAAAACCAAAAACCAAATCCCAAAAACCAAAACCAAAACCATTAAGGCCCTTATTGGTTTTTGGTTTTGGTTTAGATAACCAAAAAACAACATGTACTCATACACTCATATTTATTCCTATCTCCCTCCTTTTTATTGAATAAACGTCATAATAATGGCCATAACAAATTATTGGTTGGCATGCGTGTCAAAAGAAAAAAAAATATTTGTTGATAAATAATTTTATTCTTATTGGTTTCTTAATGGTTTCTATTGGTTTTTCGGTTTTAACCAAACTAAAATCAGTAAGTTGCTTATTGGTTTAAAACCAAAAAACTGAAACCATTAACTTTCCAATTGGTTTGGTTTCGGTTAAAACCAAAAAACCAAAACCAAATGGACAACCCTAAATACATTATATTTTAGCTACTAAGATATAAAATAATAGCATAATATATATAATGCTAGAGAAAATAGCTTGTTTTAGAATGACAAACCCATGATGTTCATTTGTTTTACTTGATGGACAAATCCCGTGTAGGTCAGACCCATTCAACTCTTTTATTTTATTAGCGGTTAGCCCATTAGAATCCATGCATTAGTTTATTGTTAAATATTTATTTTTAGCAAGAAAAAGGAGTATTGTTTTGGCCTTTTCATATATATTTTACCACCACAGAGAAATAAAAGGACTTAAAGAAAAAAATTGACACACCTGGACCCGTTTAAATCCGCATGTGTACGGTAAGTTGACCCGTTCCATAGAGGAAAAAGAAAAAAAATTGACACTCCCTATTCTACCCTTCCTACAAATGCTCCTGGAGCAGGGAATTTGAAAATGGGGAAAGGGTTTTTCCTCTCTGCGATTATATGTTTTTAATTTAAAAATATACAACAAATGTACTTAGTGTGATTTGTTATGATCTTTGCTTTTTTTAAAAGTGGTCATGGTTCGAATCCTAGTTAGTGTCTTTTTAATGAATAAAAAGAAGGTAATTGTGAAGACCAAAATGTCCTTCCTACTTTCACTCTGGATGCAGGAAATTTGAAATGAGACTTCAAATTTTCTCATTTGCCTTTTATTTATTGTGTAGATTTGTGGGAAATGAAAATAACTTTTTTTACATGGCTAACCTCCTCCAAAGCATTCGAACATCCTCTAAAAAAACATTGGGTAAATACAATATATTAGCCACAACTATTATGAAGTGGGAAATTATAGCCATAACTATGAAAATTCAAATTATTAGCCAAATGTTAACTATTTGTTAACAATTTCGTTAGTAATATTGACTAAACTTTTATGTTTCAAAGTTATGAATTAAAAGCAGTCCAATGTGGCTGTTGCCGTGGCCGATGATGTAACCTTCTAAGTTAAAAATTCAATAAAAGTAATGGACAGTTAGCCATATCTTGACCCGCAACAATAGTTATGGCTAATAATTTGAATTTTTATAGTTGTGGCTATAATTCCACGCTTCATAATAGTTGTGGATAATATATTGTATTTACCCAAAAACATTAGAACATATAATGAATTGGCAGATTCATATATAGATTGTATTAATGAATTGTTGCGAAATTAAAGTTCAGTACATTTTATATTTAACAATTTGATAACTAAAAATTTTGATCTTTAACAAACAAAAGGTACTTTCGATATTAGATTTTGATATCAGGGGGTTTGGACTAATGGCAATATCACTAGTCTAAAATCTAAAAGCCTCATATTCAAATTCTTTAATTAATACCTATATGACACACACAAAAATCCCTCTTATAAAAAAATATTTTTAGAAATATATTATAATATCGAACTTTACAAAATTTCCGGAATGATAAAAAAGTTGAATATCTCCTGAATTTAAAATTTTAGTATATGAATTCAGGAGTCCATTTATTTCGATTCATGAATCTATAAATCCAATTCATTTATCACTTATACTTAAAAAAACTTTCAAAATTTCAAACAAGTTTCAAAATAATGATAGAATACGTCGAAATTCAAGTGAAAAAGAGCCGTAAAAAACGACGTTATATTCTATCACAACAAATTAAGAGTGAACCGACCTCTGTATAATAATTTCTTTTGTTTTGTTTGATGGTTCACCCTTTAATTTCGACAACTTTTTCTTGGATGGAGGCATGGGGCAGAGTTTTCCCGGTGTAGTCGTAATCTACAAACAAAGGACAATTTATCATAATTTTGTGAATGAATGTGACCACACCTGACGATGGTGACCCATGCACTCATGCAATTTGCGTCTACAATTTGTAAGGAAGTGGTATACAATATATACTTGGGATTTTTTCTAATAAATCTATCGTGTTTTTTTACATGATATTGGAGTCCTTTTTTATTGTCAAGTCTTGTGTGTTTTAATTTTTGCGACTTTCACTATTATTGACAATAGATAAAAAAGAATATGTCATGTTGTATTTGTATAAACTTGAATATTTATAAATTCTAATTGAGTGGAACCTATTCATTTCTCTTATCACCTTTTTGCCACAAACAAAAGCACGATTTTGGGTATATGAAATTTTATTTTTGAACCAAATCAACGAAAGGATTAATAGCATAATTTTCTCTTCTATTAATCGATTTTTCCCCCAAACAAACCTTGCTATTACATTTTAGGACTAATATATTATTTTGGCTCGAACTATGACCATATATTCAATTTTGGTCCGTGGTTTCAGAAATTAACATTATGGTCTCAACTATGGAGCATATAGGCTCAATTGGCCCGACACATGATTTGACCGTCAAATTGGACAGTCAACACCGTCAGTCTAAAATCATTAAAATAATTAAAACTTATTCTTTTATTATATTTTTCATACACCAATATGAACATGTAAAATGTATTGTATGAATATCTCAGGTGCGAGTTTTAAAAAATGAACATTTACGAAATTAAATACAGTCTACACACCAAACATATCTAAAAATATATGAAAATCAATGTCATTAGATCTACAAGACTAATAAAGTAAAAATATCAAGATCAATGTCGAACATTAACACGGTCAAAAAATAACAAGGTAACTTTAGCATTCAGACCTAACAATCTCTTATCATCTATAAATTTCTGCTACTCGTCCAACTTGCCAATTCAGCCACTCACTCTCAGACTCAGTTGCACAATCTCCCAACAGAGCTAGGGAATATATGGCTGCTGCTAGTAGAAGCACGTCGATCCTGGTCATCGGAGGAACCGGCTACATCGGGAAATTCATCGTGGAAGCGAGCTTGAAAGCCGGCCATCCCACCTTTCTCCTCGTTAGGGAAACCACCGTGGCCGATCCCGTCAAAGGGAAGCTCGTCGACAGCTTCAAGTCCTCCGGCGCCACTCTGTTGCATGTAAGGGTTAAATGCATCACTTGCCATTTGAGTATTGTGTATGTTGCAGACTAACCATCTAACTTGATTTTGTTGCAATTAAACCATATAAGTAGAATTACGGTTGCACCGTCACAATTTCCATTCAAAGAGTTAAGGGAAAGTACCAAACATGAATTATTGTGCTACCATTTTGGCGGGAAAAAATAATTCCTACAATCATTTTGCACAAATACCAAAATTATGTGACCAATTTTTATAATTACCCTTCCCATCTCCCCTTTCTTCTCCCTCTTCATATGCTCACCAGTCACCACTACCCTTTTCTATTCAGGAAGGACGAAACTTGAAGAGATTTAAAATTCTAAACTGCATTTTCCCCCTCCACTGAGCTTCAAATTGTGTTTAAAATACCGCCAACAGAACTAAAATAGTGGTCTTAACCCACCACTCTAGTTCGCGAAATTCCGGTTACTGCTCGAATCCATGAAAGCCATACAAAAATACTCTGTTTTCCTCTCTCTCTCTCTCTCTCTCTCTCTGATATCTTGTTCCTCTCAATATGTGAATGAGATATTGGGTTAGCATATCAGCGGCGTCTTTGGAATAACTACCAATTCAATAGATTGAATAAATAATCTGAAGAAATGGCATCACTTTCAGGTGAGACTACTACCATGATTGAGCTTAAATTGTAAGCAAAGCAGAGATAATATCTTGAAGAAGGAAGCAAGCTATAGAGCCATCCCCAGGAGAAAACTTCAGCACATTTTAATCTATTTATGGGCAAAAAAAAAAATAACTTGGTCGAATGTTAATTCAATCCAATCAAAAGCCCATAATTTGAGCTGCTGAATATGACTCCTTTCTTGCAAGAGTAGATTAAGAAGTCAGATGTTAGATTTGAGCTCCGAAAATCTCTGTGAATAACTCACAAATTGGAAGAGGGAGAGAGATGGAGAGTGAGATGTAAAAGGAAGAAAGAAGGTAGGAATTTGTAGAGCTTAGCTGGTGTAGAAGGAGAGAGATTAATATGGAGTCTTAAAAGGAAAGGTTTGTCATATTTGGGTTGGCTCTGTTAGCAGAGGAGGGTGGTGACGGGTGAGGTGAGGTGATGCAGGGAGGAGAAGTAGGTGAGTGGAAGGAAGGCAAACTTATTAAAAAATGGTCATATAAGTTTGACAATTATGCAAAATAGTTATATAGATTTAACTTTTTCAAAATGGTAGTACAATAGTTTCTTTTTGGTACCCTCTGTGAAATTTGTGGATGGAAATTGTGATGTTGCAACCATAATTCTATTAAAATAGTTTAGTTGCAACAATAATTCAACTTATGTGATTTAGTTGCAACAAAAACAAATTAAGTGGTTAGTATGCAACATATATGGTACTTAAGTGGTAAGTGGTGCATTTAACCCTTGCATGTAATAATAATAAGTCGTGAGGTTTGCTTTTTGTGATTAGGTACTAATTAATGAATTTTTTCCCTCTTCTAATTTCTTCCAGGGTGACCTCTACGAGCACGAGAGTTTGGTGAAGGCGATCAAGCAAGCCGAAGTGGTGATATCGGCAGTCGGAAGCTTGCAGCTTGCTGACCAAACCAGGATCATTTCCGCCATTAAGGAGGCTGGCAATGTCAAGGTTAGGTGATTGAACCTCTGCTGGCGACAATTCGAGTTAATTATTTGGACCAACTGGTTCTCGATATGATATATGTTAGAGTTTTCGGTGATTGTGAGGTTTGGTGTTCGAATTCCCACGCGATTCTCATTTGTTAAGCACATGGTATTTGGATACAATGCCGTCGAAATTGTGCGCGCTTTAAAAACTTAAAATCTTACGCTTTTTACACTTCTGGGTAGGGGTGGTCGTTCGGTTACCGGTTAACCGGCCGGTTATCCACTAACCAGTAACCGAACTTTGGTCGGTTATCGGAGGCTGAACGAAATGGTTTTTTGTCTTAAAAGTGGTTTGGTTAACCGATAACCGAGATAACCGAGACACCAAAGTCTATTTCAGGCGGTTTTTGGCAGGGGGAGTGATTATTTCGGTTAACCGATAACCGGATAATCGATTACCGGTTATAACCGAAATAACCGAACTGCCACCCCCTATTTCTGGGTTGCCAAAATGCATGCTTCTACGTATGTTTGGGAACGATGTGCAAACTTCAAGCCCTTTGTTTGATGGGGCGTATAGGATGTGGTATAAGATTCATTATGAGATCTCTCATGCACAATAATTCGAGTTATTAATATCAATTGATTTTTGACACGGCTATAATCTTTTCTTTCGTTTTTTTTTAAAGGACGAGAACGAAGTGGAATTATTATTATTTTTTTTTTTGTGGGAACAGAGGTTCTTGCCGTCGGAGTTTGGTAACGACGTGGACCATGTGACGAACGCGGTGGGGCCGGCCAAGACAATATACGACGCCAAGGTTGGAATCCGGCGCGCCGTTGAAGCTGCAGGGATACCTTACACTTACGTCCCCTCCAACTTCTTCTTCGCCGCATACTGCCTCCCGGCGTTGGCACAGCCGGGGCTCACTTCTCCGCCCAGAGAAAAAGTCACCATCTTTGGGGATGGCAATCCCAAAGGTCATAATAATAATCATAATCCAATCCAACCCCAATATTCAATTCTACAAAATGGCGTAACGTTTCCATTTTTTCTCCGCATGTAATTGATTTGTGAAAGATGTACGTGTTTGGAATTGTGTTGTGGCAGCTGTATTCAACAAGGAAGATGACATTGCTACGTACACCATTCGAGCAGTGGACGACCCACGGACTCTGAACAAGACCCTCATCATCAAGCCGGCGAGGAATGTCTACTCCTTCAATGAGCTGGTGGCTCTGTGGGAGAAGAAGATTGGCAAGACTCTGGAGAAAACCTATGTGCCAGAGGACCAACTTCTCGAGCAGATCCCAGGTTGGTTAATTACTCTGAAATCAACAATTGCGCGCATTTCTTTATGTGCCTGGTTACTGATTAGCTTACTGGGTTGTTGATGGTACTTAGATATGCCCGCTCGCATGCACTTTGCGGCGAGTGGAAAGTAGTATTGTAAATGTGTCGTTACTGAAAGAAGTAGTAAAATGTGACTCGTACAACATAACTTCAAGAACCGCAAGAAAAATCATTGAGATGTTGTGGGAGAGATCCATAGTAATATGCACTCGCTTGTTAACAATCACAGAAACGGATATCGATCGATGCGGAAATGAAACTGACACCGGAGTTTACGTGGTATCCCTGGATGATATCCAGGACTAATCCACGGAAGAGCTTTGAATGCTCTTCAGGCTACTAGTTTTACTGATATGTTTGTTCTGTGGAACTTGTACAAACTCGGCGGCCACAGCACACCTCTATATCAAACTCATGCCCTAGGTTAGATCCTACAGGAGACGATTAACCATGCATGGACATGGGCTGGCAGGAGGTTTACGTGTGGGCTTTAGAATAATGGGCCCCACACCTTAAACAACACAATAAACGTAGCCTAAAGACACTTAACTCACTAACATCCTCCCCCAAATTGATGCCGATCTCTCATCATCAATTTGTTCCCAAGGTACCAATGTCGGCTTGTGGAGAAAGCCTTCGTGAACATATCAGCCACTTGTTCTTCTGTCTGGATGTGATGCAGACTGAGAGTACCATCCCATACAAGGTCCCTGATGTAATGAACATGGATCTCTATGTGTTTCGTTCGATCGTGGAGCACTGGATTTTCTGCTATGCGTATAACACTGGTGTTGTCCACATGCAACGCCATAGGTGGTGAACAAGCAATTCCAAAATCGGATAGCAACCGGCGGAGCCACACCATCTCCGACCCAACTTCTGACATCGCGCGGTATTCAGCTTCAGTAGAGGATTTTGATACCTTATCTTGTTTTTTGCACCGCCAAGATATATAAGCACTGCCAAACTGAACACACCACCCAGATGTCGATCTACGAGTGTCAATGCAACCGGCAAAGTCTGAGTCAGAGTAAGCAGTAATTGTGGGCGAACCTGTTGAAGGAAATAGAATACCAACTTCCTGCGTGCCTTGTAAATAACGCAATATCCTGTGAAATGCAGCAAGGTGATCAACGCAGGGCTCTGACATAAATTGACTAACCATCTGAACAGCATAAGAAATATCTGGTCTGGTAGCAGAAAGATAGATTAGGCTACCCACAATACTCCGATACTGAGATCCATCTTTTAGACGTTCACCAGAATCTTTCTGCAACTTCAAATTAATCTCCATAGGTGTTCTAACTGGCTTGCAGTTATCAAAATTTTGTTCACCAAGTAAATCTGATATGTATTTCCGCTGACTGAGAAGTATACCTTGATCGTTGCGGCTTACTTCCAAGCCAAGAAAATAAGACAAATTCCCAAGATCCTTGATACGGAAAGCCTGTTTCAACCCGTCCTTAAGCATTGAGATTCCCTGCGGATCTGATCCTGTAATAACCATGTCATCGACATATAAGAGGAGAACAACAATGCCTGCAGGAGTTACCTTAGTAAAGAGGGATGGATCATTTAGACTCTGGTGAAACCCCAGCTGAACGATTGTGGCCTGGAATTTCTCAAACCAGGCTCGGGGAGCCTGTTTGAGTCCATATAGCGACCGATGCAATAAGCAAATTTGATCTTCCCTTCCAACTGTGTATCCGGGAGGTCTTTCCATGTAGATTACTGCCTCCAAATCCCCATGGAGAAAGGCGTTCTTGACATCGAGCTGATAAAGGGGCCAGTTGTGGAGAGCTGCAACAGCAAGTAAGGTGCGGACAGTTGACATCTTTGCAACAGGAGCAAAGGTTTCATTGTAATCGACTCCGTGTTCCTGTGTATAACCAAGAGCAACCAGACGAGCTTTGTTGCGTTCAATAGTTCCATCAGGAAGAACCTTGATCGCATAAACCCACCGACATCCGATGGTAGGAGGACAAGGATCTGGCCTATCCACCACTGACCATGTACGGTTTGCTTCTAAAGCCCCAAACTCTTCCTGCATAGCACGATCCCATATAGGATTGCCCCGGGCTTGTTTAAATGTTGTGGGCACAATAAGGGTATCAACCCCATGTGCGACATAATCTTGATGGCTGGGAGGAGGAACTCCTTTGTTGGAGCGAGTAGAAACTCTAGGAAGCTGCTGTGTAGGTGGCGGTGGAGGATCCATGGGAGAAATAGTGGATGAGCTGGACCCCAAGTAAGAATCAGGAAGATTGCTAGAAGCAGATGGCGAGCTTTGAGTGGCTTGCGAGCTTGGAGTGCTAGGCGTGGGAATAGAAGCAGATGACGTGCTTGGAGTGGCTTGCGAGCTTGGAGTGCTGGGCGTGGGAGAGAACAGATCCGGAGAGGAAGGAGTTTATGCTGGATCATCGGATACAAAGGGATCATCATTCACTTCATCATAAAAAATTGGTAAGGAATTCAACCCACCAGGAAACTCGAGTTCAACACCTGACTTAGGAGGATAAAACCAAGAATGTTCAAAAAAGACTACCGACGCAGCTATCCTCATACGTTGACCAGAAGGATCATAACATAGATAACCTTTGTGAACACTACTATATCCCAGAAAAACACATCGGACAGTTTTAGAAATCAATTTGGTACACTCTCGTTTTGGGAGAAGGACAAAACAGAGACAACCAAAGACTCTCAATCTAGAATAATCATGATGATGTCCATGAAGAGCAAAATATGGACTCTTTTGATGAAGAACAGGAGTGACTTGATAGTTGATTAAACGCACTGCAGTAACCACGGCCTCAGGCCAGAATCGACTAGGGACAGAAGAAGCTAGAAGCAACGCTCTAGTGAGTTCCATAACATGTCTGTTTTTTCGTTCAACTAGACCGTTTTGTTGAGAGACTCCAGGACAAGACATTTGACTAAGAATACCCCGAGAACGATAGACATCATGCAAGGGAGTGGAGCTAAACTCTCCTCCTGGATCAGACCGGATAATTTTGACGGTTTTACCGAATTGGGTCTGGATCATATTTTGGAATTCGATGGCCACAGAACGAAGTTCGGACTTTAGACGAAGAAAATATATCCAGGTGTATCGAGTAGCATGGTCTATAAACAGAGCAAAATATTTGAAACCCAGGCGAGAGACAGTAGGAGAAGGTCCCCAAAGATCGGTATGAATAATATGGAATGGTTCATTTATAACAGTGGTGCTAGAAGGAAAAGAAATGGTAGAAGTTTTAGCTTCAACACAACTAGTACAAGAATGTTGAGCTGAAATTCCAACTAAATTCTTTCCGAGAAGAGACTGTTTAAACATGACAGAGAGACGCCCGGAGTGTGGATGCCCCAAACGAGCATGCCAGAGTTCCCACACTTTATTAGACAAGCTTGAAAAAACATGACTACTATCTGACGAGTTTTCTAAAGACTGAGATGAACTGTTGACAAACCTAGACCGACACGAACTACTTGACAATTGACTCGATGTAGAATGAATTGAACTCGAACTGTCTTGAAGTTCTTCCAAGTGAAAAATCCTCCCCTGTTTACTCCCCCTTCCGATCTGTCTCCCAGTCTTCAAGTCCTGTATAACACAACCAGTAGGAGCAAAGATAACAGAGCACCCTTGCTCAGTGAGCTGACCAACTGAAACCAAGTTCGGAACCAAAGCAGGTACATGTAAAGTACGGGATAGAGATATGTCAGGAGTATTGAATTTTCCCATACCAGTCACTTCCATTCTATCTCCATTAGCAACCGTTAATCCCATATGACTAATAGTTTTAATATTTTGTAGAGATTTCACATCATTAGTCATGTGATTATAGCAACCGGAATCAATCACCCAAGGTTTGGACTTACTCTTACCTTGGAAAGTGGACAAGGCTGATCCAATGGCTGTCGGCAGGGAGGTTTGAAGGGCAGCTACTGCTTGTACTAATTGCTCAATTTGAGCTGCTGTAACTCCACCAGAAGCTCCACTTGATTCCCCAACTTCCACGGCATGCACAGGTCTATATGGGCGGCCTTGATTACCCTGAAAACCTCGCCTGCTTCCTGCTTCTCGGCTGCTGCCAGCTTGAGAAATATTCCCAGCAAACCTATCTTGATTTCGTTCACGAGTACGACACTCCAAAATAATGTGCCCCATCCTTTTACAATAAACACAATAATTCCTTCTCCTGCAATGTTTCACCAGGTGCCCTTTCTCATGACAATGATGGCATTCAAGTTCAGCATTTGGCACCCTACTATTAAATTGGGGACGAGATACCGCAAATACTTGTGATCGCTGACCTTGTCGAGCAAAAGGATCTTGAGCTGCAGTAAAGGTCTCACCCTCTCCGGGACGAACGTCGAATTGAGATTGAGTCCTCAAGCGAGTCTCTTCACGTACCAATCCACTAATCACACCATCAAAAGTAAGTCGATCCCGGTTCAGAAGAGTGGCACGAATATTCTCAAATTCTGGCCGTAACCTCATAAGAAATTGCATGACCCTGGATTGTTGGCGCTCAGCTATCATATCGTCAGTCATGGCATTCGGCCTCAATGCTAGATGCAGCATATCCTGCTCGGTCCACAATTCCTGGGCAGCGTTGAAATATTCTGTGATGGAGCGATCCCCTTGCGTCAAACGCGCGAGAGCTGTCTCCACTTCAAACTGACGGGCTGCACTAGTGGTGGAGTATAACCCAGCAAGGTGTCTCCACATTCTGTTTGCTGTAGGAAACATACGAAGACTAAGGCAAGTGGAGGGATCCACTGATCCCAGCAACCAAAAACGGATTCGGGCATCATTGCGGATCCATGTTGTCGTCTCCTATGGAGTGGCGGAAGCTGCTGCCGGTTGAGGATCAGTTCCATCAAGGATTCCCAGCAGTCCGCGTCCCTCAACAAATACTCGGAATTGATATTCCCACAAGGCATAGTTCGTGGAAGTGAGACGCACCGTTGGTCTCTCTGAATCAGTCGCGGTTGGCTCTGATACCATGTTAACAATCACAGAAACGGATATCGATCGATGCGGAAATGAAACTGACACCGGAGTTTACGTGGTATCCCTGGATGATATCCAGGACTAATCCACGGAAGAGCTTTGAATGCTCTTCAGGCTACTAGTTTTACTGATATGTTTGTTCTGTGGAACTTGTACAAACTCGGCGGCCACAGCACACCTCTATATCAAACTCATGCCCTAGGTTAGATCCTACAGGAGACGATTAACCATGCATGGACATGGGCTGGCAGGAGGTTTACGTGTGGGCTTTAGAATAATGGGCCCCACACCTTAAACAACACAATAAACATAGCCTAAAGACACTTAACTCACTAACATCGCTGTACAGTGAAGTTATGAATTGGTAGATGATGATCTACATATTAGGAACTCGACAACTGTTAGTTAGAGAACTTATGAAGTTTCTGTGCTTGCAATGGAAAATATCAATGAGAAGAAAAGACGGAAGAATGACGCGTCTGGTTCCATTGGTTCCGATGCCACTTTTCACCATTTAATTGGAGAGTGAGAAAGAGTTGAGTAAGAATGTAAAACCAAACACGACAAAAAGGTTGGAAGCGAGAAAGAGTTGAGTAAGAATGCAAAACCAAACACGAACAAAAATGTCGATTTCAGCACAACAACAAAATATATGCTTAATGAACGGTTCATGCTTTTCCCTGAGGTCTTGAGAAAGATGCAATTAGTAGGGTTTTCCCAGCCCTCCCTTCTCGAAAGGAAGAACGTGAAATTTTTCCCCCCAAGATTTCTCTGTGATTTTCCTATTTGACCTCGAGCGCAAAAGAGATAACTAAAGATGTAAAACCATATGCGCACAAACAAATCGATTTCAGGACCACAACAAGCAAAAATAAACAAATTAGGTAGGGGTGTTCAAATGGTTACCATGATAATTACCAAACCAATTAGGACTAAATTCTATTAACCATGAAATACAATAGTTTAACTAAACAGACCAAATTAATAAAACAACCATATTAACCAAACTAAAGTTTAATCGGATTGGTTAATTGTTTAATCGTGTTAACCAATAATACAACATTACAATATTATTATGCGAGAAAAAATTTGCTACTAATACATCGATCCGTAATATAATGAATAAAAACATAATACTCAACTCATAGTTAAACCTTAATACAAATAAATGCAACTAAGATGATTATCTTACAATCTTTGCAAGTATTCACCTAACAAAACTATATACAATGTTATAAGGGTGATGAATTGGACGTGTTTGTGTGAATTGTCTTAGTCTCTTATAAGTTATCATAGGCTGAAAAACTCTTCCTTTCAGGTTTTCATCCAACATAATGTATTAGTTTTGTCTAAATTAGAAGTTCATACTGTGGTTGCCTACCTCTACAAGAACAAATATAGTATATGAACAATTATGAGCTTTATTTTTTACGGATACAAAGGGAGAAACACCTAATCTCTTGAGTAGTCATACAAGTATCAAGTTTGTTATATATAATATATTAGATATATAATTTATTGGTTTGATTGGTTAGCATACAAAAATCAAACCAAACAATCTAAAAAAATTTAACCAAACCAAACCAATTATTCAAATTAACCAAATAAAATTATTCGAATACTACAGGTTAAAATGGTTACCAGTGTAACCACTTTATTTGAACACCCCTAATATTAGGACTTTAGGAGACTTTTTTTATACAAAATGAGCCAGACCTGAAAATCAAAGAAGCGACACGTACACGGGTACAAAGAAAGGGCCTTTCTAGCCACCAAATGAGCTACCCTATTTCTACTCTGACCTACAAATCGCACATTAAACCCGTGTGAATTGCCAAACAGCGTATCACCTCTTCGAGAACAACCCCAATCTGACTATCGCGAGTATCATCCTAACTGATTTTATCAATGACAATCTTGGCGTCACCCTAAGAAATTAGCGCTGTGAATCCATGCTCCAAACACTAGAAAATGGCCTCACGAAGGACAAGCAGCTCGACCACTAAAGTGTCATCTATAATCGCAAAAGAATCTCCCCAGTGAGACGCAAAAGAACTATCTCTCCCTCCAAGTGAGACCCAAGTCTGGTAGCTCCATCCCACCTATAGATCAACAAACCCCGCTGCCCAGGGCTCATATCCAAAGCCAGCGGGCAAGTCGGACGTTGAACACCCTCAATCGGTAAATTGGTCCACTGGGTAAACTGCCGCATCAAAGCCGCAAACTCTGCTTCCCCTCGAAGACTACCCAATTCCGGGGACGCTAGATCTGCAAGAGGACGACCACGACAGCCATAAACATAGGAGGCTGCTGGATAATTAGCATCAACTTTTTAAGGAAAAGCGGAAACATGTAGCGGGCAGGGCCTAACCAAGATATTCAAGGCCAGACAGATCCCATAAAGCCCGTGCCACTGGGAAGGATCCAATGGAAGATCTGCCATAAGAACACCTTACGTTTGGGTGGGATAATGCTTTCCACGTGCATATCCAACTCGTCATGTCCATCCAGCTGGCCGAAGATCGCCACCTACATCCTGCTTATCTAGAAGAAATGCAAGATGGTAGGCAAACTTAACCATGAAAATCCCATCACAAGTGCCATGCCAGATCAATCTATCATCCACATCCTGATGAGGAAGATGAATAGATTTGATAGCCCGACATGTCTCAGGGTGAAACCACTGATTCAGTTTATGATCACACCACCAATCCTCCCCTGATAGACCACCTCCGCAATCGTAGGACCATCCCCTTCTGGTAACACACAAGGATTATAGACAGGGGTATGCGGGTGAAGATGTGGAATCCAACTGGATTGGAGCAAATGAATACTCCGACAATTACCAATCTGCCACTGCAGACCCTTGACCAACAATAGCCTGCAAAACAGGATACTCTGCCAACCTCACTACGGCCTACACCTAGCATTGGCAGTAAGAAAAGTCCCAACAGGGAAGTATTTACCCTTATAAACCTGGGCAAGGAGAGAACAAGGATAAGTAAGAATACGTCATCCAATCTTGGCCAGAAGCGCCTGGTTGAACTGTTCAAATCGACAAAACCACATCCCACCGTCATGCTTGCTCTGACACATATTACGCCATGACATTCACCGAATTCGGGGATGACCCTCTTGAGAGCCCCTGCAAAATTTGGCCACGTGTCTGTCTAAAAGACGACAAAGAGAAAGAGGGAGCCTGAAATAGGACATGACATGAAGAGGCAGAGCCAGAGCAACAGATTTTTTCAAGGTCTCTTTCGCAGCCCAAGCCAGCGTTCTTTGTTTCCAACCCTGAAGTTGAGCAGTAACTTCTCTTCTAAAAACCGGAACATTTCCATCTTAGACCTAGATAACAACGTTGGCAAACCAAGGTACTTATCCTGCACTCCTACTGCTTCCAAACCCAGAATTTGGGCAAGAAACTCTTAATCGGGTAGGGTAATGTTCTTACTAAAGCACACAACCGAATTGGCCAAGTTAACCCTCTGGCCACTAAGCTCCTCGTATTCATTCAAGACCTTAATCAAATTCTCACATTCCTGGAGAGACCCTCTAAGGAAGAGATAAGAGTCATCCGCGAAGAATAAATGAGAAATACGAGTAGTTTTAGGAGCTACCTTTACCCCCTCCAATTTCTCTATCGCAATAGCTTGCCAGAGCAACGCCGCAAACCCCTCTGTGCAAATAAAAAACATGAGGGGTGAAAGAGGGTCCCCCTGACAGAGGCCACGAGAAGGCGCGAAGAACCCCGAGGGTGTGCCATTCATAAGGACCAAGAACGAAGTTGTACTAAAACATTCCTGGATCCAGCCTTGCCATGTAGAGTTAAAACCCAACTTATCCAAAACTGCAAGAAGAAAGGGCCATTCAACTCTATCATAGGCCTTTTCCATGTCAACCTTCAGAGTCATGTAACCTTTCTTGCCCTTAGTTTTTATTTTTAGATAGTGCATTAACTCATGCAGTCATGCTCAAGTAAGACATTCTCCACGATTTTTCATTCACGTATAAAATCATTCTGTCCTTCCGAAATGATTCATGGTAAGAGCTGCACCAGTCTCTCAGAAAGAATTTTAGCGATAATCATATACACAAACTGGCATAAGCTTATCGGTCTGATTTGCGCCATGCTCTCAACATTATATACTTTGGGGGATCAAAGTCAGCCAAGTGTGATTAAAACTCCTAAGTGCCTGCTCGAACTAAAGAAAGAACCAACGACTGTTGTGATAGAGTCCCCAACTATACTCCAATAGGACCTGAAAAATTTCTCAGTAAACTCATCAGATCCCGGCGCCTGCTTTTAACCCATGGAAAACACCGTTCGACTTATTTCTGCAGGGAGGACCTCGGTGGTGAGTAAATTATTCATCTCCTTAGTTACCTTAAGGTCAATAGGAAGGTTTGCAATCCTATCTCCCATATTCTGAACTTGTTTTTCCGAGGTTAGTAAATGTTGATAAAAATGAGTGACAATATCAGTCTTGCCCTTTTCGCCCGCACCCATCACTAGAGTCATTCCGCAGCCCTAATATAAGGTTATGCTTTCGAAATAGAAATATGATATTAGGATAAAAGAAAAGGAAGGAAGTAGAAATATCAAGAAATAATTAAAAAGGAAGAAAAAGAGAGATTAGTGGATGAGACCCACTCTAATAAACGATTGCCCTTACACTTGTGTTTATTTACAACTTAACCGCCTAATTTTTAGCAACATATAGACTATAAAATTTTATATATTAAGAATATTGCAGAGGCTCCAATTGTGGTGGACCTTATACTGTCGATCAGCCACTCTGTGTTTGTGAAAGGGCACCAGACCAGCTTCGAGATCGACTCGGCGTGGGGAGTTGAAGCATCAGAGCTTTACCCGGATGTCAACTACACAACTGTGGAAGAGTATATGGATCAGTTCGTTTAAGAGGTGCCCCTTAATCTGGAACTGGAAGTAAGATTTGTGTAGGGGTCGGTTTTTGATGTGTTTGTTCCAATGTTTGTAACTTTGTTCATGTAATCTTCATAGGAGCTTCATTTGAATCAGTGTAATGCTACTATAATGGGGACTCTGTTGAAATAAACATTGCATGTCGAATTGAGAGCCTCTCATTTTGGGGTTTCTCCCTTTCTAATTGTTAAACCATTTTATATACAGCCAGAAAGAGCTCTTCATATGGAGTTCTTCTTAATCAAGCAACTAGCATTAGTTCGCTCGCTACCGTTTTGTGTGTGAGCGAGAACAAATATTAGAAAAAGTAATAGTTTGAATGTTTATCAAAAAGTGAAAGGGTAGTTTGTTGTGTGGGATGACAGTGATTAGTTTATTGGAAGGAGGATTTATAATGGTTTCGAGTGTTACGCTATTTTTTTAAAGTGAAATAGATTGTTGAAATATCGAGAAGACATAATTAACAATGCAAAAAATTTGGTAGCGGCCGTGGAAAACGATGGATGGGGACAATTTAGGATTCCGATGACAATGTTTGGAGATAGGTTGTGAATTGGTTGGCGAAGGCAAGGATTGGACATAGTAGAAATGGTATGTATCTTCGTAGCGGCCTTGGTAAATGGTGGTGGAGGACAATAGGTTGTGAATTGGTGTTAGAAGGCAAGGATTGGACATAGTAGAACTAATAGGTATCCTAGTTTCTCCCCTGCATGGGCGGTCTCTTTCATGGGATAACTGATCATATTATCATCATCGACATGGACTATGAGTCCATCAATTCACAAACCTACGCAGTTAAGTAACTAGTAGACAGTGAGATGAATTTCTAAGGGAATAACAGTCGAAGTGAGATCCCTAGAAAACCCCCCCAAATCGGAACCACAACAGAGAATCAACCACTGATTCGCTGTTTTCAGCGCCAATTTGCCCTCTGAGTTCGAATTCATTCTAGGTCGGGTGAGTCACTCTATTGGTAAAGTAACGACCCTCTAATGCCTCCTGTCACTGGCTAGCGAACTTCTACCCCCTAAGGGTATATTTATAGGCCTCTATATAATATATTATTGGAGAAAAATCGATCTAGACATGTTTTACGAGTTCTTTCAAGTCCTCTCTAGCTTGGCCGCCACGTATGGCTTATTCCTTGAGAATTAGGGCTGGATCTGGATACCCTCCAAAATGGAGGCCAATGCACCATTTTGGGATATGGTCGACAATTTCTAATGTTGTTTAATGAGCTCGTTCCAATCTTGCATTCTCACTCCCATTGGTTGAGTCTTGATTCCCCCAACACGTATAAGATGGTCCACTAGGAGGAGATGGCCTAAAAACAATATCAAAAGTGCATCAAAGTAGTAAATTCAAATGTGAAACTTTTATAACTTAATTCATTTATTATTAACTAAAATTCCTTTATTATTGTCTACTATATTCAAATGTAAATCTTACATAATAATTTCAAAGTGAGATCTATAACTTGATTTTATTATTAAAGCACACGTTCCTGAAGATTACGTAAAACCGTTCGTTAACAGTTATTAAAGCAAATCTTATGAAGGTTAAAATGATATTTATTTCTTATATATCAATTAAACAAACGTGTTACACAAGTCTTCTGAAATAATTAAGACACTATGTAAAACTTATGAAAATGTCTTACTTGAACTATTTTTTTGAATACCAAAGGTAAGATAGCCTAACGGTAAAGATGCCGTGACAGTAAAGGCTTGGGAGATGCAGATCCCAGGTTGGAATCCAAGCGAGGCCCGTTGGTGTTCCCGGAGGTACAAGGCTGCTGGGGGCGAAGATCCGATTGGATAACAACTCTGTGCACAATAGTCGATTTCTCAACTAACAAGCCGCTACGCACACGGCCCAAGCCAGCTTAAGCCGCCTTATCTTTATCTTTGATCGAGGTCTAAAGGACCCGAATAGCTTGTGGGTAAGGGTCATCCGTGGGTAATTATCATTAATGGTAACAAAACTATTCACTTTGTACAAAACGGTCACAAATCTTTAATTTTGCACGTTTCAGTAATATATGTTTGGACTAATAACAAAAAGGCAATTCCGTCTATCTCCATCCAACAAACTGTTAGTTTTATAGTGTGTCAGCATACCAAGTCACTTAAGATATTAATAAAAAAAATGAACATACCAATTCAACTGATAATCCAACCAAAAACCCTAATTCCATACCCACCCACCAAACCGAAATCTCGTAGACAGAACGCTCGCTTTCCTCTGTGGTTGTAGACGAATCAGCTCCCAGCCGCTGACCCAAAGAAACTCCCCGCCGTCGATTGCCTCCCCTGGTCGCATCGCCGGCATACCAAATGTCCGCCGTAGATCGCCTACCCTGCTCCCATCGCTGACTAAACCAAACGCCGGCCGCCGTTCGCCTCCACTGATTGTTGTTGGGTGCTGAATCGCTTACAACCAGATGCTCAGAATTGGAGGCGAGAGGAATTGGAGGTGTTTCTGGATGGAGTTGGGGTGAGCGGCGGGCTGTAGTGGCACGATGCTCACTGGTCGATCTTCTTCTCTGCTCACCAGATGAGGATTTCATAATGGGAGTCTTGCGAACTGCGAAGGACGGCAGAGTCGATGAGAATGGTTATAGCTGGGAAGGGGAATGACATAATTTGAAGAAGAAGACGGATAATGGAGCAGGCCATTATTGCCGGCACCGTCCCGACAATTGCGTCTCAGTCGGTGGTATCCCAAAATCCCAACGACGACCTCCTCGTCCACGAACAACAGCTCGCCAATCTAGGCGCCACCGAGGTTGTTGAATTCGGGTGGGTGGGTATAGAATTAGGGTTTTCAGTTGGGTTAGAGTTCAATTTGGTTTGGTCATTAATTTTTTTTTATTAATATCATAAATGACATGGCATGCTGACTGGATGGAAGTAACGGTATTTTGGATGGAGATGGACGGAATTACCTTTTTGTTATTTGTCCAAACATTTGTTACTGAAACGTGCAAAATTAAAAGTTTGTGACCTTTTTGTACAAAGTGAATAGTTTTGTTACCATTTATGATAATTACCCGGTCATCCGTACAAAGTACCCGAAGAAAACTCAAAATGGATGAAAACCTAGAACTACGGTGATTATGTCGAATTTATGGAGAGGAGTGATTCGCGAGAAAGTTCTAATGATCTCGATGTAACTGAAAATACAGACAAGGGGCTAGTCTATTATAAGTTATTAGTTGACGGGGCTATCTCAGATATCTCGAGTTAGGGGCGTAAAGTGAAGATTGAGGGAAGTAGAGAAGACGATTGCTTACTTTGACAAGTTCATTTTCTGACCAGAGGCCTCCAAGAATTCCCTACATCTCCATGGAACGAAGTAGCTCGATCGATAGGGAGAGGAATGAAGGAGCGAGCGGAATTCGGGTTGCATCCAAAAATACAGGAAAGTGCAAAAATTAATAATTAGTTTATTTCTGAAAGGAAATGTGTGCAAAAAAAACTACTCAAATTTAAACTTGTATGACGTATCCATTTTGTTGTTTATTGTTTTAGAACGAATTATTACTTGATTGATACTGGTGTGGAGTGGAGAGAGTTCAAAGTTAGTTGGCAAGTCATTGGAGAGGATGAGGAGTGAAATAGTTCAATGAAGATGGTGAAGGTTTGGTGAACTTCGTCATGGACCACATGTCACTGACGTTAGTTAGGAAGTGTGTTGTCAAATGACTGTTAACAGGATGTCACAAAAATGCAATACAGTACAATCCATCCACTTTTAGTCTTTGTGCATATTTAGTCCCTTAAAACATTATTTTCTAATTTTATTGTTGTTAATGACTTAATGCCACTTTTGTACCTTATATATGATAATGTGATTGCTTATGGAACTCTTTTATCAAGAATATTGATAGAAACCGCGGATCTAGAATGCCTCCGAGTTGAGTTATGGGATTGGAAATAGATTGAGGTATAGGAATTTGATAGAATTAGTGATTTGATTGAGGAAGGGGGTGTGAGAACGAGAGAAAGAGAGCTCAGCTTCAAGAAAAGGCTGACGGCTCGAAGAGACAAAGGGAAAGAGGAGTTCGACAGAGAGAGATATAATTAGATTTTAGAGATATTATATTATGATTAAGATTCACGAATAAAAGTATAGAATATATAATCCAACAAATTCTGTTAAACTAACTCTATTTTCTGCCAAATACGAGAATGACAAATACTCCCAAAAACTCACATAAAAATATCAAATAATTCAAACTCCAAAAACTCACATAACAAAAATACTAAGACTCATATATAACTTTCAAACTCCAAAAACGGATAGATATCGAGTAGACTCGGTTTTCTATCATACCGTCTCCCTCGAGAGTAACCTTGTCCTCAAGGTTGAATCGGTGCATCCTGGATCACTTTTCCTTAGGCTTCTCGACATCATCCTCTCAGCTTCCCACGAACAACATCAAATAAGCATGGTTTACAATGTATAAATTTAACTTTCACCAAGATCTCCATTCTTTTTTTATATTGGGGGTGGGGACTACGTGGAACAGAAAATGGAAGCAATGATCAAAAGGTCCAGCCTTGAAATTCCCCCACAACCCCATCTTATTGCTTATGATGATCGAATTTAAAAAAAAAAAATCTTATTGCTTATTAGTTTTTCTTCATCGACACGCCAAAGATAAAAAGCTTGTAAGAAACAAAAAGGACTTCCACCCAAACAAACAAAAATGTAGCTTAGTCATCTCTCTTTCTATCATCACATCATCATTTCCCAAACAACACTATAATAATAGCCCCATTGTGTCCAAAACTTGAGTTGCCCTTATGCCAAACCTCACTGGACGACGATCAGCCCACTTCTTGAAATTTTCAACTTTTACCATCTGCTGTTATTAATTTCATCCCAATTGTTTGATCACTAATACTTTCCAGATGTCGAGGAGACAAATTTTACAAGCAGAACTTGTAATGAACCTGCAGCAAAACTGTTTTATTTTTTTTTTGTTTGTTTGTTTGTTTCTTCTTGATGTGTATGTACACCAGCTCCTACTACTACCAATGTGGATCTTCGATTTCCTCTCTAAGAGTCTTGTACGATGGATTCTGGATTCCATCAAACGAATCGACTACATATGTTCCAAACTGGGCCAAAGAAGTGTGCAAATTTCACCAAACTGATTCTCAAAGTACCTTTCACCAACTCTGTCTCTACTGCGAAATGCTCTGTTTTCTTTCCTTCTTCCACCGTTTGACTTGTCATGAATCCTCGTCAGCCAATCTTTCCGAAGCAGGAAAAACAAGTTCTTCACTTCTCGGCGGGTGATAATCTCCATCATCCGTCTCTTCAATGGAAGGCTTTGGAGCTTCACTTGGTACAGCTGAAACATTCTCAAGAGCCGTACCGTTCCGTTTCTTCCCCGGTGCTTCCGCTTCGTATCCCATCATCTTCCTTGGCTTCACCACTTCAGCATTCTGCACTACATCTGAGAGGGAAAAAAACCAGCAACAAAGGAACAAAAAAAAAAAAAAAAACACGTCAGCATGGGATTTAAGGAAGAGAGGGAAAATGGGTCTTGTTCAGAAATGGAGTTCGTGTTAGTGTTAGTTACTTACCACCATTGGAGAGCAACAAGCTTTGTTTGGAAGACTCCGAGAGGAGAACGAGCATCGGGGTGACGATGGTGAGGGCAGCCCAGAAGAAGAATATCACTAAGAATGTTCTGTCCCCCATTTCTCAGAGAAACGGTACAGAAACTGAAAGGGAATTTGAGGGCTTTTGAGTGCAAAGAAGGATAGAAAGCGAAGAACAGAGTGAGTGAGACAGAGAGAGGGCGCACGACTTGATTTAGCTGGCCACGTTTAATAGAAAAAACCCCGATGAATTGTATGTGTTTATTGGTAGAATTATTGTGTCAAATTGCAATTTGTTTTAATGAATTAATTAATTGTGTATGAACATGTAAGGTATGATACTTATATGATATGTATGCCTGCTAACAGCATGTTGTACCATGATTAGTGTATTTTAATCAGTGGGTGTACGTTAGGGACAAAGTCAAGTGAACTCAACATAGAAATGACGATGTGCTTACCCATTTCTACTGGAGATTTGGTTTTTTTAATCAACGGTTTAGTAAGTAGTTGGAGAGTAGTTGTACCAATTAAGCTTCTATATGATTAGTGAAATTCGTCTTCTGGCATCTTTGATTCTTCTCCCTACCTCAAAAATCGTCCTTCTAGTTCTCTTCAATCCACTTTACCAGCTTCGTTGACAATCATGCAACTTAAATAAACACATTAACATAATCCAGAAATGGAGGGAGGTGGCTCCCAGATCACATCAAAGCAGAGACAGACCACTAGTCATAATCGTTCAAAATGTACAGGGGAAAAAACTAACAGCTCAAAACATGTTCTGGCTGCTGAAACAAGAGCAACGACTGTTTGGTGATCAAGAATCTGCATTGAGGTACGATTCGCTTTTGCGAGAATACAGTGATTGAAGGAGAAAGAACTTGGGGGGAAGGAACGGTCTAATGAATCTAACTACTTGGAAATATGAAAGAATCAGGAGGAACAAGAAAGTGTGACCTCTCTCGATTTGTGTAACAGTCGATTTGCATAACTACTTAGCATCATGGAGTTTCGAGATCGAGAACATTAAACCGTGGAAGGCAGTCCAGCATTGTCACGAGAGAAATCCTTCAGTCAGCCATTAGAGTCCCCTGCTGGTTGGAGAGCGCATTTTGTCGCCATATTTCTGTGAAAGAATCATGGAGACAAGTTGGTGAAGTTAGGTGAAGATCAATCAAAGGAATGATGCAGATGGGTTGAATTTGAAAATGAGAAGAGAAATGATTTTGGGGTGGAAATGGTTCTTTCTTTACCTGCTTTCCAACAGTGAAAGGAACATATCTGTACTTGATCATGTGCATGATTTGGCGCTTCATTGTGAGGAAAGCCAGGACGAGCCAGTAGCATAGCAGTATCGGCCAGAATACAGGGACATCGAACACCGAGAAGAATGTCATCAGAAATGCCACGCCGAGCGCCTTGCTTATGGAGTACCTAAAGAAGCGATAGACACACAAATGAATCTCTTGTTAAGTACTTATGTCGTGTTCAGATCAACATAACTCTCCAACTTTCAAGCATCGTGGATAGGACTTCACTCATATCTCTAGTCGAACCAAATGATCTCACCAAGCAACAACATAGAGACGCAGAGCAACAGAAGAAACTTGAAACCGACATGAACAGACAAACATGGAAAGCAAATGATCTTGCCAATGAATTCAAGCAGTATGGAAGAGAAGCACCATGATGATCCATGAACCTCCAATACATAGACTAGTCGGCCTCTCAAGAAGATCAGCTACATTAGCATAAAGTACAAAGATTTCTACTCTAGTATGATGCTTGTTCCAGATAAACAAGTCTATCAAATGTGCCTAACACGAGCTTATGGCTACACAGAACCCCAAATGCTTCAAGAAAACAGAAAGCCAATGAACTGTATCAGAGTTGCAGCAAAAAGGGTTCTTGAATTACCAGAATTTGAACTCAGGGAGGCGGCGGATGAAGGGCCGGAACTCGTCGGTCTCTTTGGTAGGCAAAGCAGCACCATCCATGAGTTCGAGCTCGGGATCGACTTTTGGGGACAAGAACCCGATCAAGAGATTCAAGATGTAAATCCCTAGGCCATACGTGACAATGTAGAACCCTTGAACGAAGTAAACCCGCAGCAAGTATATTGCCGCCCCGCCCAGCGTCCCGAGCCACCTGTGCATTACATGAGGCGTGGATCGATCGAGATAGTACTGGAATCCCTTGGAGAAATCGTTCTTTAGCTTTTCAAGTGGCGCCAACGCTTCGTTCCCAACAACTTCCATTGCGATCGAGTCTTCTGCAAAAAAAAAAAAAATTCTGGAACAATCAGTCAATCGATCGAATCAATCGATCATCGCTATTTTCCATGCAAACAAACAGAGGGAAAAGGAATTTCAACCAGTCGATATCACGGATGGAGGGAGATTAGTTCTAAGAACACTAAATCACTAGGAAAATTTTCATCGCGGAGGAACCGAAATAGCAGCTCGATTTCCTGAAATTGGATCGAAATCGTAGAACGACGAAATCGACACAACAATTAGGGAAGTATTTTCAGAGCTACATTTGCTGACTCCACGTTTCAACCGGCAATCGAATGAAACGAGGAATGATTTCAAGGTTTCCGGCGAGCTTACCGTAGTGGATTCGACGAAGATCAGTGAGACGGAGACGGTAATTCCAATCAACGCCGACGAGATCCCGGGCGAATGGCGATCAACACCAATTATGTGAATCCGACGGGAAATTTACGCAGATTTTTTTTTAACCTTCCGTAACTAAAATTCGCACCAAAACGCGCCTTTCGCGGGCCGTTTATTTCCTAACGTTGCTTAGAGCGACGACGTATTGTTCATTCTCGTTTTGCCCTCGTTTTCAGAGGGATTTTCCACCCTACTTCTCGGCCTCAGTCGAAGTAAATCATTTCCCCAACACAGTCCGACAGAGAGAGAGAAGGGGGAGCGATTTTCCAAAACCCTTAGAAGCCGGCCGGCGATCAGGAGACCGGAGGAAGCCGATGGGGACTCTCGGAAAGGCCGTGTACACAGTGGGATTCTGGATTCGGGAGACCGGACAGGCTCTCGATCGCCTCGGTTGCCGCCTCCAAGGCAACCACGCCTTCCAGGAACAGCGTAAGTGGCGCGCCGCCGGGGAGCTGCCGTTCGGGCTTTTCCTCTTTTAAAATCCCAGATCGGCGCTTCAATTCGTAGCGCTTTTATCTGTCGCGCTGCGCTTTCTGATTTGATCAACATTTTCTGTTTTTATTGTTCCGTTAAATTTGGAGAAATGTTTGTGTTGTGCCCAATGGAACTGTTAATTAGACTATGGCATCGAATTTTCGAATCAATTTAGCATTATATCGATCTCAATTGATAGATATTCTTGGTGTCAGTTTCGATTTTGGACTGTAATTTCACTGTTGCGGAGGTTTGATGCAGTGATTCTTGGACTGTTGATAGTTGAACCAATGGTTATTGCTCGAGTATTTGTTTCATGGCTAAAAAATTCGGGCAATGTAGTTTAGATATCCCAAGGCTTCCTCAGCGAATCTTGGAATTTCGTGGTTATGATTCTGCGTCGAATTTAAGTGTAGTTGATAGGATGATTTTAGCTCAGTGTTTTGATAAGCTGTTATTCTCCCTGATTTGGGATTAGAATTGGAATGGTGATGGATAATATGCGTAGTTAGAAGCTTAATTGTAATTGTTTGATACCATGGGGCCAAATTTAATCTGTTTTTGTGGCTCAATGCGACATTGATTACTAGTGACATAATGCTTGTTTAAGTATATGCTTACTCATTTATTTGGAGTAATGTGTGTCACTCCATTTTTATTTTTCAGTGTCTAGACATCGCACTGTCATGAACTTATTCGATAAAGTACCTGTGCTTGATAAGGGTTCATTTGTGGCCCCTAGTGCCTCTATCATCGGGGATGTTCAAGTTGGGAGAGCATCATCCATTTGGTATGGATGCGTCTTGAGAGGTAAATGTTTTACTCTCATCAATGCATGATGTTTTCCGCTGATTTTATTAATTGGACTGCTTTGATGCCTGGTCCTTCACTTGTGCACCTTGTACCATATCCGACTCCTGGATGTATATGAACTGGTGCTGTTCATGCTAGATGTACTCAAGATCGTTGTTGTAGATTCACTTTGAATCTTACTTATTAGTTGGTACCGTATGTCTACTATTGACCAGGTGCTAGAATATGGATCATAAATCTTTCTCTGTCTAAAGAATGTCCATCTGAGTATCATATTTAGTTACTTACTGTTCCACTTTGGTAGAGGTGAAGATTTAATTTTAACCAGCACTAGTGTAGAAGGTTTCTGTTGCAAGGTTTCAGTTAGACAATTAAACTCCTTTCAGCTCATATTGTTGTTTCGGGAGTCCCATAAATATGTAATGCTCACTTTCTTTGTCGATAGGCGATGTGAACAGTGTCAGCATTGGGTCTGGAACTAATATACAAGATAACTCTCTCGTGCATGTTGCAAAGTCTAATCTTGCTGGGAAAGTGCTGCCAACTATCATTGGAGACAATGTCACTGTAGGTGAGAAATTGTTCTTTCCCTTTTGTTTATCCAGCCTTTATCAGGTTTCAAACTGTTGGGCCACAAAATAATTTAGGACTCACATTGGGCAGGTCATAGTGCTGTTTTACATGGATGCACTGTTGAGGATGAGGCTTTTGTTGGTATGGGTGCCACACTTCTTGACGGCGTGGTTGTAGAGAAGCATGGAATGGTTGCAGCTGGAGCCCTTGTAAGGCAGAATACAAGGATCCCTGCTGGAGAGGTATAAGTGCCGAATTGACGTTTATAGCCTTGCCTCATCCCAACTCTTTTTAGAAGGAAAAAAAATGCGATAGGATAATCTAGTAGGAGGCCTTTTGGAGAAGTCGTCAATACAAACAAATAGTAGAAGTGGAAATGTGTTAAAAAAAATAGTCAGTAAGCAAAAATTAAGAAATAAATGAATATTTCCATGATTTTGACGTCTTTAGGGTATATGAACCGTTAAAATATGGTAGTTTTGTAAAATGATGAATGGATCCATAAGGTTTTCGAGTAGAAGAGAAATGAAAGAAGAATTGGAAATTGAGAAACTGTAAATCAAAGTAGGGTTCACATCACTTTAACATCAGCTAGAAGGTTGAAAGGGTGTGTTTTATTGGAAAAGTTGGTTACCGTATTAACTTGAGTTACCAACATCTGCCGGTCAGTTGAATCAAACAGAGTCAAAGTGTTTGTTCATTTCTGTTGAAGTAAAAAGATAGTGAACCATACTGTGTCTGTACTGTAGCGATGCAAGGTTACTAAAAGCCTACTCTGAAGTACTGCTGGTTGGTTAGTTAGCACAGTACCATTACATTCTATGATACTCATTGCTTATGATTTTTTCTTTTATTTTCCACCGTAATTTGATTAGTTCCTGCAAACATATTGCTTCTGTATCAATTGCAAATGGGTAGTGGAACCAATAATCCAGTGTCATCACAGCAGGAACTCTGAATTAGCGTTTTCTTGTTTTGCTTAATATGCAGGTATGGGGAGGGAATCCTGCAAAGTTTCTGCGGAAGCTGACTGATGAGGAGATAGCTTTCATTGCAGAGTCAGCTGCCAATTACTCCAATCTTGCACAGATACATGCAGCTGAGAATGCCAAGCCTTTTGACGAGATTGAGTTTGAGAAGATGCTTCGTAAGAAGTTTGCAAACCGTGACGAGGAGTATGACTCGATGTTGGGCGTTGTCCGTGAAACTCCGCCGGAACTAATTCTTCCCGACAACGTCTTACCAGCAGCAGCTAAGGAAAAATGAGGTATTGCTTCTGAAGAAAGTTTTAAATTTCTGGTTCTGTGGTCTAAGTTTCAAACAAGATATCTGTTGTTTTCGTGCACGAACAGAAATGCAGGGACTGAAATTCTCTCCCAAAATAATAACAGGCATGCTTAGGTAGTAGAATCTCTCGTTTTCAGCTTTTTGGCTCAACTATTCTTGCTGTTTATTCAGAAAAAATTTCATGATGTAATCATGCAGTTTGTATTTTTTATGTTCTCGTTCTCTTCGTGTACCCTGGATTCCTGATTTTTGAATGTTCTAGGCGATCCATTCCACTTATTTTCTTGCAACTTTCATTTCTATCACGAGAATTTGTTTGGGAAGGAACTTGGGTTAAGGTGCAAAGTGACATGCATAATTTTGATTTAATCAATAGTTAGTGATTAGGGGTTGTAAAACCGTACAGAAATTGAACTAGTGAGTTTGAAATCGTATGAGTCGAACTCTGGGAGGTTTAACTGTAAAGCTCCGTATCATATTTGTGGATGTTATAAACGCGCTACTACGGATCGGGAATCGCCGGAATCCATAAAGCAAGAATACGAAAGTGAGAATCGAAAAACACAGACACACGATTTATGTAGTTCACTAACACGATGTGTGATAGCTATGTCCACGGGCGAGAGAGAGCCAGTTTCACTATATCGAGGAGATTACAGATTACAGAGAAGTATGAGAAGTATTTATAGTACTTCTCCATGTGGGTCTAAACCTAATCCAATCTGACAAAGGAAACGGTTACAAACCAGACCCAGAACCCGAACCCAAATAACATTGAGTCCATACACCGTGGGCCGGGGGCGTTGCCCCCGCACCCCCACCGGGGCGTTGTCCCTGGACCCCACTCGCTGGCCGGTCAGCGAGACCCCCGACTACCAGTCGTAGCGGCTGATAGTCCAATTCAAGTCACATCAACAGTGGTAAACTGTAGTAGAAACGTGGTTACCTTGTTCTATTGTTGGAGATTGAATCAGTACACGACCAGCTCGCATGGTACAAATGAAGCATGCGCAGTGATGCTGCAAAGCAAAGCAAGCAAGACATGGTTTGAGAATCTATAGTTGCACTTGCACAATATGGTCTGTGTTTGGAGGTGAAGAAAAACTTGGACCAGCTTTCAAATGCTTGGTTTATTCAGTCTTTCCACCCAATCCCCACGTGCTAGCCACTGGCCTGGCTACTAAGATCCATTAAAGTAAGATGCAATGCAATGCAAGTCTCCCCCATTTTTTTAGGTCTCGGCAGACAGTAGCTTATATATTAACTTGGAGCCCGTCTAGCCTACTTTGTGAACTGGAAGTGAAACTGCTTGTTTGTGAACTAGATTTCTAATGTGAGTGAAGTCGCGCTGCGCTGCAGCCACGATCTCAATCGTTGGGTGTGTCCATGCTGGTTGCTTGTCGCTAAAGGTAACCTCTCTGCTCAGCTCTGCACCATGGCTACTGCTCTCAACTAGTGGTGTTGCTTGCGAGAATGTGTGTTGATGAGTGAAGGGAGCAAAATGATTGGAGGACAGAGAAACCAAAGATTCGACTGTCCGTGATTTGAGCATTGGCAGTATCTGGTCGAATCCTCAAGCCAACATACATAAAGGACAAGAAACAGAGGGTTTTGTTTGGTCTGGTTTTGCTGGGGAATCATCCTTGCAGCAATTTTTTTTTATTCAAACAAACCAAAGAAAATCCCCAATCAGATCCTAATTTCGGTGCTCTGCTCTTTTGCTTCAAATCGTCATGTCTCTTCACTGGGTCCTTTCTTTATCCCATTTTCTGCCTGTCTTGTTGGATTTGCTTCTGACATTGATCGCTTCTTTTGTCCGGCGCCGCAACTCTTTCTCGAGTTACCAACATTGAGAATGGTTTCGACATGTGGGGGTTGGAATAATTAAGCTATGGTCCTATCGTATGTTATTGGATGTTGCGATTCACGATCGTTAGATCTCGTCGGGATGTCCTTATTTGAATGGTATGTTAGGATTATAGCAGGATTATTGGTGTTACTGCGTCGAATTTTATCAGAGTGTGTTTGGATATGATGATTTGAATTTGGTATGTGTCAAATTTATGGGGTGATTGTCAAATACACGTCTAGTGTGTTACTTGTTAACTTCAAATACATTTCAACAACTAGTAATTTGAAATACCTCCTAACAAACGAGTGGACATATTTGTAAAATATTAAAAGTTTAGGTACTACAGCGTGAGGCAAAACATATAAAAGTACCAAAATATAATTTTACAATCAAAATTTCAGGACCTTTTTGTAAAAATTTAAAAGTTTAGGTACTAAATTGTAAGGGAAAAATAAATTTGGGTACCAAATTATAATTTCCAAAATTTGTAGTAACTGACCAGAAAATTCAAAATATAATTTTATAATACAAACAAATTACAAATGAGTATCCAAACAACGAATTTGAATTATATGCATTTCAAATGCTAGTACTTCAAATAGATTCATTTCAAATATATGTATATTTGAAATACACCTATCCAAACACACCCTCAAGCTCTTTTAAATTCTTTCGAAGCAGTTTGGTTGATTGGTTAAACGGTGAACATTGATTAACTAACTAAATTGCTACTTTAGTGGCGTAGGTTCTAGCCGTAGTCATTACTCATTAGTCCTGCACTCGATTATATAAATAGATGCTTTGGAGGCGTAGCATTTAGCCAATAGTCATAGCTTTAGCCATGGCAATTAGTCGTATATTTAACTGAAGACCACTACTTACAATTCGTTGGATCCGAGTCACGCTATTTACTTTATCGTATATGTATATAAATGTAGGCCAAGATCTTATTAGAATCGGAGGAGTTAGTGTGCTAATACTTTTTTTAGTATAGTGCTAACACTAGCTCTAATCAATCATAACATTTCGTTTGAATGACTTTTCTATTTATATGAGTTGACTACAATTAACGGGGGGAAGGTAAAGGAGGTGCACGCTTGGTATTATGAAAAATTAGAGAAGAGGAGGAAGAAAGGGAGGGGGACACGAAGCAGACCACAACCTCCAAAACAGGCCACAACCTCAAGCCATGCCACAACCTCCTCAAGCATGCCAAGTCCTCAAAGCATGCCACAAGTAGTGGACCTGTTTGTAAATTTGAAAAAGTTCAAGTACCAAAATGTAAAGAAAAAATCTTAGGTACCAAAATATAATTTTTCATCAATATTTAGTACTCAAATGTAAATAAATAATGTTAGGTGCTAAATATTCATACCTATTAAGTTCAGGTAGCAAAACTGTAATTGATAAATAAAACATAGAAAAGTAACGTAAATAGAAGGAAAAGGAGGGGAAAGGGAAACAGAGAAAGGTTAAAATACTATAATACCCTTATAAATGTGTTAGTATGATGATAACACTTAAGAATGTTAACACTCTATCCACTCTCGTATCACATTAGCGGATTTAATAGGAGATTTGGTGTGACGATAGGAGATGCACCTCTAACAATAACATCTACCATAACAAATTTTCAGAATTTTGTTTGATAAAAGTTTCCAAGTAACGAAATTTCATGGTAACAAAATCAAAACCTTTGTTCATAACTTGTGTTTGTCCTTTCATTTAGTTTGTTTTTATTAGTAGGTATAAATTTATATGGAGAGTTCTATGGTACCCATAGAAAACATTATCCAGGTCTTGAATTAATTAGAGTTTTGAACGTATTTAATACCCTAAGCCCTAATGAGTAAAGTTAGGTCCCGATAATTTAATTCACATACATTCTAAGATCAATTTAACTAGAAATAATAATAGATAATTCTGATTCGTCGAATTACATCATCTTAAAATTTAAAAATTAAGATCTAGAGTTACTCCTTAAATGTTAAAGTATAGTAGTATTCTCAAAATCCCTTAAATCTAAATCTAAAGAATATAATATAGAATTTCTCTTTAAAGGTTCACCATTTCAAAATTCTAGCCTTCCTACGCATCCACGTCATCCCTCCTCTCACCAATCAGATTTTTTCTTTTCATTCTACTTTATTATCTTTCCTAGCAGTTTATTTTTTTATGTAATTTTTTCTTTTAAGTGTTTCAGTAATCCAATCAGAATGTGCCACCTAGAACACTCTCTCAATTCCCTTTCAATCCCCCTACTATTTTTAATTGATCCGTATTTATTCCGTTTGAACTCCAAATTTAGATATCTTTGCGCCAAAAAACCAGATATTACGTGATCTACACAACGATATCCATTTTTATATATGTTCGGGAAAAAATTAAAAATATGGTCGGGATCATATATTCACAAGTCACGTTTTTATTGGACAAATACTAAATTATATCATTATCATTATATTCTACCTCCATAAAGTACTCATGTACTATCAAAGTTCGTGGAACAAGTTTCTTATTCTAATGAGTTACTAAACTATATCAATGTTTAATTTTGTACTATCATATTAGTAATGCACAACAATTTTATGCGTGTTAAAATATTGTCGTGAGGTAATCTTTTAAAAAAAAATCACTTTCCGACCAACTATCCAAGGCTCAAAACTAGTGTTAAAGTATAGTAATATTCTCAAAATCAATTAATTCAAAATTTATATAATATTTTCTTACTAAAAAATACAAACACTCCTTAATCTAAAGTGAGCGGCAACGCCGAGACTGTGTCGGGGTACTCGGGGAGTCAGTGCGGCCTCGTCTTTTGGTGGCTGGAAGTATACGGCTCACGGCCCCCCACCAAAGATCAAACTTGCTTATCTCATTGGGTTTAATTAAGCAGAATGCACGTTATAGGATCTACTATCCTCCTGATTTCATTTCTCATATTCAGTGGTGTAATTAAGTTGAAAGGTTATAGTTGAAAAAAGTTATTTGCAAAGACATGATCTACTGTTCGTCTAGACACGAAATTACTATTCATTAAGACTCAAAATTACTGTGCACCTCCTCCTGATTGGTTGTCGGTCTGCAGCTGGCCCCACTTGCTTTTTCTTATTGGCTGCCTATTTGTCTGTGGCTATTGCGGTTTTGGCTGCCGTGGTTTCTCGGAGTTGCGCGTTGCCCTCAGCTGCGCCCTAATTTCCTCTTCGCTATTTTCTTTCTTTATTTCCTTTTATTGCGTTTCTCGGCTATTCCCCGTTAGTCTTTCTCATAATCATTACATCTGCTGTTTTCTCTCTTTTGCCTTGTGTGTTGATGTTTGGCTTTCGAAATTCGTGGCAATGATGGGCGCGGTTTCCTGTGCGCGGCCTCACCTGTTTGGGCCTTGGGGAGAGCGTGTCTGTGTAGGCCTGCCTAGATATCTGAAGCCCGCCGCTTTTGCGTGTAGAAATTTTTTCGCGCTTTTTGTGCTCTCTCTTTCTGGCGGTTCTTCTATTTGACATCGTTGTTATCTCTTCGGCGAAGCGCTGTTTCGGTTCCCTTACGTTTCTATTCGTGATTGGGCCGATAACTGACACGAACAGCACTTGCGCCTTCTAATTCCTTCTCTCATTTATATGTTCTTTTTTTTAATGACACCAGTTCATCACTGCGCTCTGGTCTCTTTCCGTCGTTCTGCTCTCTTTCTAAGCGTAGTTTTCTCTCTCTTCAGTGCTCTTCATCTCGGAGAACATGAAATTCACATTGCTTTGCAATCTCGGCGACCCGCGCAATGCTAGCGTTTCTTTGCGTCTCCGATTGCTGCATGTGTGGCCGGCGAAGTCTCCAGGGGATATCAGAATCTACAATTACTGTACTCTTTGGACCGACGAAACGGTGCGCTCTCCGTGTCTTTTCGTCGAGATTTTTGTGCTTCTTTTTGTTGTTGCCGCTGTATATTTTTTATAACTATTGTGGTGTGTTTTGCGCAGGGTACGCTGATTCATGGCGTTTCGCCGACTTCAATGGCTGCTGGGATCCGTCGTAACCTTTCTGTTGGGAAGATTTATGTTGTAAAGTCCTTTGGCTTGAGTAACCCGCCGAATCAGTATCGCCCATGTTCCTTTGATTTGGCTTTGGGTCTCTCGCCCTCGACTTCCTTTCAGGCATGTGGTCTTCCTGCTGAGAGTTTTCCGGTTGATGCGTATGAGTTTGTGTCTTTCTCCCAGTTGAGTATGCATGCTGGTAATCATCGTTTCTTGACAGGTCAGTGGATATTTTGTATTGGCTTCTTATTGATTTGCATGTGTATGTGAATGTGAATGTTTTTTGTTTGTGTCTGGATGTTTTGCCTCCATTTTATTTTCGTAAATGTAGTTGGTCGGCTCCATTCAATCAGTGGGATATCGCATAAAATCACTAATAACGGCCTCGCAGTCAAGCAGACGGTTATTATCGAGAATGAAAGGTTCTCCCGCTTTTCTAGGGTTCTTGAGTTTAGCCGTGTGCGTTATGTTTCTTTTATGTCGTCTCTCACGTATGCCCCGTGTTTTCCCCCATTGGGGCGAAGGTTACTATTACACTCTGGGATGAGTTTTCTGCGGTGTTGGTCCATGTTGCTCTCACTCAGGCTGACTCGATTGAAGCTGTGATTCTCGCATTCGGCGGCTTGCTGGTTAATAAGTTGGGAGGTGTTTTTTTTCCCCTAAAATGCATGTATGTTTATCGGGGTTATGCGAGAAATATTGATATGTGATGATTTCTCTCCGTCTTTTGTTTTCTGTTTCAGATGATTATATTCTCTCGAGTTCGGCTGGTACACGTATAGCACTCAACCCTCATGTACCAAAGGCTTATTATCTTGCATCTAGGTAGGATGGTTGTGGGTATTGCTGATTTTGTATGGCCTGTTTGGGTGTTCATTTTATGCACGAATGACTGTGTTGTTAAGTTTATTCTGCTTATGTCTGTATTAGGTTTGCTGAAAAGCACGAAGTGGTTGAGTCCTTGCCAGTGGAGTTTGCTACCGCTGCTGATGCTACTGCTTATGTAGATGGGCGTACCAAGAGTTTGGATCAGTTGTTGAGCTTGTCTCGAATGAATTCCTCACTGGTTTATTACTACTCTTTCTGGAAAGTTTATTGTTTGTATTTTTATCCCTTGGGAATGAATGGACTTTCTTTGCTTTGCTAGGAAGAGAAGTACCGCTGTGGTGGAGTGATTGTTGATGTTGAGTCGAGAACTCCTTGGTATTACATTTCGTGCAGGTTATGTTCGAAAGCTGTTTCAAAGCGTCGAGACAATACGTTTTGGTGCCCAAAAGATTGGCAGCTGGAGGAGGAGCAAACCCGAGTCAAGTATGACTGCGTATTATTAGCGCAAATTTCCTGTCTGTTTTAAGTTTTTTTGCTAATGTTCTTTTTTTTTGTCAGTTATAAGCTCCAGCTTACGTTGAGGGATGACTCTTGTGAAGCTCGGTTCATACTGATGGGTGGTTGTGCCCATGCGTTGGGTAATGTTTCTGCTGCATATCTGGCCCAGAGGTTCCCTCATCGTCCTGGTCAGCTGCCCCCGCAGTTGCATCAATTGCGAGGGCAGTATGTCAAGTTTGATTGTAAGTTGCCATTGCCTGGTCCTACTGGCTTCTCTTCGGGCGAGTTCCGTGTAACTCAGGTTGTTCCGCTTGATGACCCTACGGTGGTCGGCGATTTGCTTGAGTTTTCTTCGGAATTTCCATTACCTGGTCATGTTGCTGCTGTTCCGACTTTGACCATGGGTGCAGCAAGTGTCGCGGGTGGTTGTTCGAGTTCATCGAGGTTAGTGTTGGTTGCTTTGATTTTCTATTTATGTTCTTTGATCGAGTCGGTGGTATTATTGGTGCAAATTTCCTGCCTTATGAACTGTCTGTTGTATGTTCTCAAGGGTTGCGAAGGGAAAGGAAAAGGTTTCAGGTCCTCTCCTCACTGAGGTATCAGCAGTCCCGTTCAGTATCACTAAAGAGCCATATTAGGTTGTTAGGTATTCGCAACGATACTTATTCTGTTCATTAGCGGAATTATTGGAGAATGTGTCCTTAGTTATTTGCCGTGTTTTTTTTTCCAGCCCGATAGTTGAGGATTTGCACATTCCTCCTCCTGCAAATATCGAAGACCAAGGTATCGTTGCTGGCTCCCAGATTCTTGGGGGTTCTCATTCCTCGGGGATTGGTGTACAGGTTGGCTCTAGCCCAGTTGCTGCCGTTGTGGCCGTTCCTTCTTCAGCTCAGTCATGTGCACCATCTGGCAGATCTATTCCTTCGATGATTACCAAGCATACATCCAGAATCGATGAGTCTACCAGTCCTGAGGATGTTAGTCGTGGTTCATTCACATCTGCTACAAAGGTTCTGAAGCCATCTCCTGGGTCATCTCCTGGGAAGACCTCTGGTGTAGCCGCTGGCTCTTCGTCTGCATCATTGTAAGTGTTTATAAGTTAGTTTTAGTACATTTCAAATTTTTTGTGCTTTTCCCCCAATATTCATTGCTGGAAGCTATGTTTGGTTCAAGATTGGTTTCTCCACTCGCCAAGATCAAGATGGAGAAGTTAGACGATGCTGAGGCTTCTCCTTTGCCTCATGGCAGTTCCTCGCAGGCAGATACCGAGACGGAAAGGGATTCTCCAGTGGACAGTCAAAAAAATCCAACTGCGAAACGTGCTTTGTTCAAGAGGTGATGATAGCATCAAAGTCATTTCCTATTTTCTTATTTTGTTGCGATTTTCTGCCATATTTCATTTGCGGTTAAGTTTCTGTGGCTTCTATGTATCTTATTCCTTCGCTATTTATTTTATTGCAGGAAGTAGATATGTTTTGGACCAAAGTTTTTGTGCATGGGTCCAGTTCTTCTCTGCGTGGTTGATGATGTTCCCAGAAATGCTGCTGCCTGACTTTCAAGGAGATGACATATTTTGTTTTGTTCATGCAAGTTATTCTCCTTGTTTAGACAATCGTATTTTGGATATCTGGGTTTCAGGAATGTAGTGCTTGTAGTTGTGTGGAACTGTGGATACTCTCATTTTGGATTTCTGGGTTTCGAGAATGTAGTGCTTGCGTCTGTGTGGATATTATCAGGAGATACAATGCTTCTGTGCCTTTGGTTTATATAGCCTTCTATATTCTGTTGGATAACTAGCAGCTGATTAGTTAATGTTAGTCTTTTTGTTGATGTTTACACGGTCCTTCTGTGCCTTTTGATTTTCGTCAGGCTGTTGCCCAGCAGTGACTGCCCTCATCAAATGTTGTTTGATGCTAATACGAGCGATATCATTTTTCTGCTCCCCATAGAGGGGGGGGGGGGCTTGTCTCAATTTCTCTCACGCAGTTTGAATAGAGACACTGCCTTTTTTTGGATGCCTATAGACTGTATCCAGAACTGTTAAATTGGAATTCGCTAACAATTTCTAACAATTCGAACTGATTACGCATGTTTCAAAGAAAAGAAACGTTTGGACCGATTTATAATACGAGGACATCTTCCTTATCTTTCTTAGAGCTCTTGATATTTCTTACTTAGTATAATGCAGCCCCTTTCTGTCCGAAAGATTAAACTAATGTGACTGCTTTTCATCATTTTATTAATCCAACAATATATCAGATCTTTTTCACACTATAAGGATATTATAAGGATAATAGATAGCTCACATATCCATGATAGCTATTTGATATTATACATCTTCCCCCTCAATGGGGTTATGTCTTTTTCTTCAGGAACTTCCTTCACTTTACCATGTATTTCATCTGTCATTTGCTCTCTTAAATCCTTTGTTTGGCGGGCTAAATAGGACAAAGGTAAGCTGGTTTTTTATTTAACACCCTCATCGATGAGTTTGATGAATGAGTGAGAGTGATTTCTATGACTGTCTCAGCTTGACTATTCGAACATAGCATCAGTAAATGATTCTGGTCATGTTTGGTTTCTGCTTTTTCTGTGCAGCAATGCCTCCCAAGAAAAGAAAGACTCAGTATCAAACTCTAACACGTAAAAGAGCCAGAATTGAATTTATGGAAGAAACATTGCAAGGTTCAGTAGTTCCTCAGACATCTTTTGGGGACGTAGATCATGTGTCTGAGACTTATACGGAGGAATCTTTACGATGTCTTCGTCAAGTCCAACCATCTTCATCAGGTGATGAGTGCGCTGCCACCATATCGCTGTTATTTGTATTATGAGATTCTCATGAAGACATCAATTATTATCAATCTTCTATTATATAAAAGTTTTACTGTAATGTTCTCTTTTGTATGTATTGCACTCATCAGAATCTTCAAAGCCAAGGAAATCGCGCTATCAGACTGTGAAACAGTTGGGCTCCAAGAATACAAGGAGCCATATTTCTTCTCTGGAACAAGGGGAACCCAATGTGGTGGCTGAATGTAACAGAAATAGCAATCAAGTTGAGTAAGCCGAACAGTGGGAAATTGGTAGTTGCTGGTTGCAGAACTCATCTGGAACCCCATCCTGTTTTAGGTCCATTCCCACGGCTAGAAAGCCACTCCATGATGATATTCTGAACATAGGTCAACCGAAATGTGTCTGTAAGTTTTGTGGTGCTTTGTTCTGGGATTTGGAGAGACTTGACCGCCGCCGAGCAACAACCGATCCTATCTATGGACTCTGCTGTCAGAAAGGCCGTGTTGGTTTGCCATATATAGCCCAACCTCCGCGTTTGTTGGCTGAACTTCTGCAGTTTGATGGTGGCGCTATGTCTAAGCATTTCAGAGATAACATCAGACCATATAACGGTTCATTGTGTTTTACATCGTTTGGTGCTTCTATTGACCCTCGCTCTCTTTCTGGCAGGGGGCCGTATTCGATGGTTATATGTGGAGAAAACTATCATAGGATTGGTTCATTGCTGCCTCCTGATGGTGAAAAGCCAAAGTTTGCTTAGCTTTATATTTTTGAACCGGAGAATGAAATCGACAATCGCTTGGCGAACTTCGCATCGCGTGATGGTCTACTTATGCCAGAGCTGCTCACTTCATTGCTCCAAATGCTGGATCAACATAACCAACTCGTGAAAACCTTTAGGCGAGTTCGGCAACAGCTTCAAGATTCTTCAACAACGAATTTAAAGCTTCGAATATTTGGGGCGAAGAGCAGGAATCGGCAATATGATTTGCCTAGCAGCACTGAGATTGCAGCGCTTATACCAGGTGATTTCGTACCAGACAGAGATGATCGCGATATAATAGTTGATCATTTCTATGAGGGGTTGAAGAGGATTACGAGTCTCAATCCAAAATTTGATGCGTTACATTTCCCGCTTCTATTTCCATATGGAGAGGATGGTTACCATCCACTCATCAAATACAGGTCAGCTTTATGTGCGCCTTCTATGCGTAGGAAGTTTGTTACTCAGCGTGAGTACTATGCATTCAGGCTTCAGTATCGCAGTGGCGAAGGTCATACGATTGTTCGGGCTGGAAAAGCTCTTCAGCATTTTTGTATTTGATGCTTACTCATCGATAGAACTAAACATGCTGGCTTTTCTGCGTTATCATCAGCCACAACTTAGATGTGAGGTTTATCAAGGACTACAGGATGCGATGGCGCGGGGTGATCTTGACAGAGATAAAATGGGCCATATTGTACTCCCGGGTACCTATATAGGTAGCCCACGGTATATGCAACAACTATATCATGATGCTATGGCGGCGGTCGAATTCTTTGGAAATCCTGATTTATTCATTACATTCACCTGTAATTCATTGTGGGAAGAAATCACCGAGGCTTTTCGTGATATTGTTGGCCCAAATAGCTAAGATAAACCAAAGGTGGTTTCAAGGGTCTTCCACGCTAAGCTAAGCATTCTCATAGATGACATTAAGAAAAACTCCTACTTTGGAAAAACAATTGCAAGTAAGTATAGGTTGCTCATTTAACATCACTATACGAATTCCGCCTGTTCAGTGCTTTTCAAAATATACATTTGGATATTTGCGCTTTTAACTTGCTTTACTTTGCTCCAGTTATGTATACAGTGGAGTTTCAGAAAAAGGGTTTGCCCCACATACATCTACTGGTTTGGTTGTCTGAAGAGAATAAATTGAGGATGTCAGCTGACATTGATGAGGTAATCTCAGCTGAAATTTCAGACCCTCAACAAGATCTAGTTGGATATGAAGCTGTCTGTAGATTCATGTTGCATGGTCCATGCGGTGAAGCAAATACAAATGCACCGTGCATGCGAGACAAGAAAAAACACGCGAATGGGAAATGTTCCAAACAATATCCAAAGGATTTCAATTCAACCACCACATTAGACAAGTTTGGAAATGTAGTCTATAGAAGATCAAACACTGGCGTCGAGGTTCAAAAGGGAAGTTCAGTACTTGACAATCGACATGTTGTTCCATACAACAGGAATTTGTTGATCAGAATGCAAGCTCATATAAATGTTGAGGTATGTCACAAAGGCAAACTTATTAAATATCTTTTTAAATATGTGACAAAAGGGCCGGAAAGATCATTGGTTATTGCTGAAAACGCTGATGCATCGCAAATAATCCAGAAATGCAATCTTAGAGGCATAGAGGTGAAATTCAGCAGTACATAGACTGCCGATCGCTATCAGCTTATGAAGCCATATGGAGACTTAATGAATATCCAATTCATGTAAGAGAACCATCAGTGGTGCGTTTGTGAGTTCACTTGGATGGTCAGCAAAAAGTAACTTATAAGAAACAATCCAATGTTCGAAATGTTTTGGGAAATCCTAATGTCGGGAAGACACATTTGACAGAATGGTTTGCTCTTAATCGCAGGGATCCTCAGGCAAGAGTCTTGACATATGCACAGATACCAAATAATTACACCTGGCTTCCTGACTGTAAAGAGTGGAACCCTCGCAAGAAAGGATTTGTGATAGGGAGGGTTGCATATGTACCACCAGGTTCTGGCGACGTATTTTTCCTCCGAATGATACTCACAAAAGTCCGTGGCGCTCTCAGCTATGCTCATCTCAGAACTGTCAATGGAGAACTTTGTCCAGATTTTGAAAAAGCTTGTGAAAAACTGTGTCTCTTATCAGATACTTCATAATGGATACGTGTTCTATCCGATATTTCGACTTCTAGCATGCCACGAGTGATACGAAGCACTTTCGTGTCAATGCTCATGTTCTGCGAAATTCCAAGTCCAGCAGCATTGTTCAATTCATCATGGAAGTCAATGGCTGAAGATTACGCGTATAGGTTAACCAAAGATCTCAGAGACCAAACTCAGAAGCCCACTAATGAACGACTACAGAACTGGGTACTACATGAATTGCAGGCTATGTTGAGTTCTCACTCAATGACAATTGAGGACTTCAATCTTCCAATCCCATGTTATGGTTCACGTGATGATGGAGAGAACCCACTTATTAACGAGCATCTGGCCTTCGATACAGATCAGCAACATGCACTAGCAACCTCTATGCTACATTCATTGAATCCTGAGCAAACCAATGTATATACATCTGTTATCAACTCAGTCCTCAACAAGATGGGTCGGGCATTCTTCCTATATGGTCATGGAGGTACTGGCAAAACGTATCTCTACAATGTCATTACAGCTAGACTCAGAAGTTTGGGGAAGATAGTTGTACTGGTTGCATCATCGGGAATAGCAGCAACACTACTTCCCAAAGCAACCAATGCACATTCAAGGTTCAAAATTCCTCTTATTCTAGATGCAAAATCGACATGCCCTATTAAACACGGAACAAATTTAGCTGACCTGTTAAAAGAAGCATCCTTAATCATTTGGGACGAAGCACCAATGACCCATCGGCAAGCTTTCGAGGCAGTAGATCGCAGCTTGTGCGACATATTGAATGTTCCACTGAATGGACATCATTATAAACCTTTTGGAGGGAAGACAGTCCTCTTTGGTGGAGATTTTCGCCAAACACTCCCTGTTATAGCTGATGCTGGACGTGAACAAACGATTGATGGCTCATTGACTAGGTCCAAGCTATGGAATACTTTTAAAGTGATGTGTCTATAAAAAAACATGCGCATAACAACGGTCCAGCCTGCTGACCAACAGCTAATGCATGGATATTCGTTTCCAGATTGGGTCCTTGCCTTAGGAGATGGAAGACTTAGAGCAAGATCATTCAGAGAAGATGGGCCACCAGATTGGATACAAATTCCACCAATGTTCCTAATTGATCCCGGGGATGACTCTGTTCAGTCAGTCGCAGATGATATATATGATTTGTTTTCTGACAATCATAGGGATCCAGCATACCTAACCAGTAGAGCTATAGTGACTCCAACGAATGCGACAATCTCTAGAATCAATGACTATATGCTGCAAAGGGTACCAGGCAATACTAAAACATATTATAGTTCAGATTCACTGCAATTATCAACACAAACAGCGGATTCGTTTGACGAAAGCTATCCAACAGAGTTCCTTAACACTCTCACATTCAATGGAGTTCCAGACCACGAGCTTACACTAAAGGTATTCACTCCAGTTATGCTCATGCGTAACTTAAATCCTGGTCTTGGTTTATGCAACGGCACAAGGATCATGATCACAACATTAGGGGATAATTATATAAAAGGCAACATCATGGGCGGTTCTTATGACACTGACGAAGTCATTATACCAATAATAGTGCTCAACGTAGAGAACTCCAAGTGGCCCTTTATACTAAGGAGGAGGCAGTTCCCAGTACGCTTATGTTACGCAATGACTATAAACAAAAGCTAAGGACAAACGCTTGAAAAGGTTGGGATTTATTTGCCTGAGCCCGTATTTAGCCATGGCCAGCTATATGTGGGGGTTTCAAGAGTAAAATTAGCGAGGGGCTTGAGGATTCTTATACAAAACCCAGCAGAAATACCCCACGATTTTACAAGGAACATAGTCTTCACCGAAGCCTTCGCTGATATTATGAACACCTAAACCATACATCAGGTGAGTTCGTTAAATTGAACAAGCTATTTGATACTTCTACCAGAAAATTCGCCTAACAAAAACAATGTTTTTTGTAGGATTGCAGTAATACCCTGATGCAACCAGGTCAATCCAAAGAGGTCAATGCCATGTCTTAATCACATATCTAGCTAATGAATAGTAAAGAAATGCATTCGGCTCTGTTTTTGGGAATTAGTTTTTCATGGTTGGATAGATGGTTTGCTTTAAGTCGAGAAATATAATCGGCTAAATAATGGATCAAATAGTTTGTTAATGCTCAGAAACTGCATGCATTCCAGGCCCACTAAAATTACGACCAAACGAAATAAAATGAACCCTAAAAGAGAAATGAATGACAGCCCATAAAAACACTTAAAAGAACTGGAGTATTGACGTTCTATGCCTATTCTAATATATTGGAATTACTATGGCCCAGACGTCTTCGGCCCTAGACGCTTACCAAAACTGAGGACCCTTTTTTGCGTTTTGATGATAATGGAATGATTTTGAGCCCAACCCGAAGATACTTTAGGGCTACAGGTAAAAGCCCACGGGAGACCCGCCCAAAATGAACACTTCCTTTTGAAACCCTAGCCACCTTCATCAGCCAGATCTGCCGTCCACATCTTCGTCAGCCTTGCTCCGCCGCGGAAGCCCCACCACTGAAACTACAAGACAAGCTTAAAAACAAAGGTAAGTCCACGTCCTCCTCTTCTTCAGCGCCTTCACACCTGGAATATAACTTCTGATCGCCACTCACGTTGTTTGCATAAGACCCCGCCTAACATGGAGGGTTTGCGCAAAAACCACCAGTCAACAGAGGACGCTCACATGGTCCCCACCGATAACAAAGGTGAATACCTTCCATTTTTGTTAAAGAATACTCCCAGGAATCTCGAATCCTCTGCAAAAAAGATAAAATATGAATTTCGTTTCCCTTTACTATCTTATTATAGATCCGATTGAAACTTGCATGCAATTTCGGGGGTTGCGTCTGGGCACCAACATCCGCACGGTAATTGCTAGGCCTGTGATTACATGGCTCGAGATCAGAGAGGCACCCAAGCTTAAAGATGTCAGCATGCACATGATTCGGATAGATAAGAAGGTTTGTTTGCAATTCAGTTACAAAACTACACAATCTTTTCATAAATGATTTTAAACCAGTATGATGTATAATTTGGAACCGCTCAATTGTTTTTCTTATAGGCACGATTGATCGAGTCGGTGGTTGATGAAAAAGACATCACCGAGATTTCTCGCAAGATAAAAGTCGGGAACCTATATCGTTTTGATTCGGTTAAGGCAGTACCAGCAAGAGAAAATCCAAAGATCGTTCCAGGAGAGTTAAGGGTACACATAACTGTTTACCAAAATATTTCCAGAATTGAAGAGGACCCAGATGACCCACGCCTGCCTGTTGGCTGGGACATTGGGATGGCTTTTTCGATAGTACCACTTCAGACAAACACCATCGACTATCACACAGGTACACTAGCTATATCTGTTCGCCATAGTAAAATGAACATAACCTTGAAAATGACAAATTTTTCTGTTGCCTAGACATCATTGTATGCATTAGGCGTCTCAGTGTTCCCACAACAATTCGCAGTACTCTCAAAGAATTTCACATGATCGTACAGGATGTGAGGTACATTTTGTAGAATAAAATCTTGATTTGCGAATAGTATGAATAAACAACCTCACATATTTGTGTCACTGACAGTGGCGCCAAGGCATCGGTTCAGTATCCTGGATACGATATACCGAAGTTCTTAGAGAACCCCCCCACAGCTGAGACTCATCTGCCACTAATTGTTACAATCAAGTCTGTCATTCGAGTAGCACCTCTATCCAGCCAGAAATACAAGTATCATTTCGAATCCACTCCTGCCAGTGAGCTGATAATCAGATCTTATGCAGTCCCAGTCCGGGAAATTATGCACATGTACAGTTTTGTTTGAGCGAATGCTATTCATTTCTTGAATCATAGTTTTTGCCAATCAGCCAAAACAAATTAAATTAACACTTTTGTTTCTTTCTGCTACAACCAGTTTCCTTTATAGTCGCAAGCAAGTTTACTACATGGATGCAAACACCGCCAAGAAAACAGGCTGCCTTCGATCAGGAATTGAAAAGAAGACACTTGCTGACATAAAAACTATGGATGCATCTGATCAGACTTGCCACAAGGTTCGTAAGGGCCAAGATGTATAACAAATGTCTATATTTTGCGCTTACATTTTATGTAGACCCATGCCTAATCAAAATGCGATGTTCATACTAGGTACTCTATCGTGCCAAGTTCTATATCTCACAGATGAAATTTCGAAAAGCCATTTGTCGAGCAACTGAGGAATGGCCAGAGTAAGTTTTCTATTTCAATATGAAAACTACATCTCATGTTAGTCAATCCATCTACGAATAAGCTAACACATTTTGGGACTTATATTTATAACTAGGCTGCACTATCAGTTGGAGGTCAAATGCAAGCAAGAAACTGATGATATTGATGCCATACTGGACCATGAGGCTACGCTTTCAATAATCGGCATGTCACCCAACAAGTACAACAAACTCGATGCAGAATCGGCCAAGGCGTTGCTGATCAAAAAATGTAGCAGAATGTTTGCAGGAGAGCTTTACATCGGCTCCTCAGATCTGCAGAACAGAACTACAACAGTTGTACCCCACATAAGAGTAGCGATACTTTGGCATACCTCAAGAATAGACAAGTGATCATCAACACCAATGACAGAAAGACCTACTGGAGCATCTTATTTACCCCTACCATCCTCCATTTTGAACTAAGTTCCTATTCTCTATCTCCAGTGAAGACAAAACAATGGCAGATGCGATTATGTGGTTTGCATAAACTTTTGGATTTCAATGAGGTCATCATGTACTATCTTTTGTTTATATGTCTTGACAAACTAAATCCCCAGTACATTTTTGCGCACTCTGCAATGAATCTTCCATACTATCATTTTGGAATTCAACAAGGTCATTACATACGTCTCGCCGCGACCAAAAAATGTTACAGAATCCACAGAATGACTGAAGTCAGACCAACCCCGCTGCGGAGCGCGGGCTGATTACTAGTTCTATTAACTTTGAAACATATGTAAAATTACATGTAAATTGTGTATAAATTTAGAGATTAGAATAGTCGATAAACCTTTAAGCCTGCTATCATAGTTATCACAAATTCGAGTAAACCACCTAGTACAAATTTCTAACTCTGTCACTGTTCATATTTATGCGAACCGTTATCTACGGTTGAAATTTCAAGTGTTATATGTGCACCTGTCTGACAGTTGAAATTGTAAGGATGTTTGACTTGTGTAATGTTAAGGACACTTATGACCTAGCACCACCGGCAAATAGTGAAATTGCGCGATCAAGCAAATATTTTGGCACTATAATAGTCGAAGAACAGAGCTACATCTCTACGTTAATGCCCATTTTAAAACTAATTTAATTAATCATGGAGTAAAGCGAAGTAGTTCCTGGTACATAAGAGCCAAAAGACCGCAAAGTTGCAAGGTTCATGCCTTGAGGAAAATGCAAGCTTAGAGTTAATTAAGCTAAACGTTAAGGCTAATGGTTGTTTAAGGCTAACCAAATAACCATTTCACCGGAGGGTAGTGACAACAAAACTAAAAAAGCGAAGCTATTACAACTCGTAGGAAATAAAGACAGGGTTTTTTTAGCCACCATATGAGCTATCTTATTGTTCTGCCTACGTACCCACAAATCTAATTCGAAACTCAGGGGAAGACAACAAGAGAAGCTGAATTTCTTCAAGTGGGGCGCCACCAACAGCATCCCGAACTTCATTGACCTTCACGTTGTCAATAATGACCTTCGCATCGCCTTCGATCCACACCGCGTCCAACCCACACAGGCTTGACACCACCTGATTGCATCCCGTAGCGCCAAGAGCTCCACAAGCAACGAATTTTGAAGACTACGGTAGCACATCTCGTGAGCACCCACCACAGTACCTAACATTTCTCGTAGCACCAATCCAGCCGTCGCGTGGGAACCCGCACATACAACCTCGTCAAAGGAACAAACTATATTCGTCGAAGAATACCCTTCATTTTCATTATTACCTGCCACAGCTGCCGGTACTGCCAAGCAAGCGTCACCACCCCTTCCCTCCTGGACTTGTAAGCATTCCTCTACCTGAAAAAAGAAACTGAAGTATGAGGATACTATGGAGAGCCTGTATGCCTTCGAAGGCCACCTCATTCCTCACCTTCCAAACTCTACATAACAGCAAGGTTCAAAAAGGCGCTAGGTGCAAGGCGGGTGTTGAGTCTTTTCCTAGCGCCTAGCTCGTCTAGGCGTAGACTAAGCGTGACTGTGAAGAAAAAAAATGGGTAAATTGCAAGGTTGGTCACTGAAAGTGCTAAAATATTCACGCTTGGTCACTAAAAGAATTTTATTCCATTCGTGATCACTGAAAGTAGTTAACGTTTCACGATTGGTCACTCTCCGTTAGTTTCCATTAACACCGTTAGTGGTTTGCTACCGTGGCAACCAAAAATGCTTCTTCATCCAATTTTGACCTGGCACCTAATAAAACCGGACATGCCACGTCAATTTTACCCACCACATCACATTTCCCAACCCATGACCCAAACCTCCTTATTGACCCGCCCGACCTAAAACTCTATTGGCCGAAAAGGACATGGAAGAAGGAGCTTCAATCTTCCAATTCCAATTCCAAATCCCAGCCGAGGGGAGCATCTACTTTTGATTGTCGATGCTATGGTGACCAGCTCTTCCTCGAAGCCGATCGCCCCTTGCCTCCTCCCGTAAACCCAAGTACTCCCAAACCCAGAACATGGTGGAACGCCAAAACTGATACTTTCCCAAACACGAAGGCGCTGCTGCTTCTATTCGGGAACACAGATTGTCAACGAACATATCGAAGATGCAATCCGCCGCCCAGATTTGTCACCGGCGAAGACAGAGGCTAGCAACCTCCCTTGGATTCGGGCCCCGACTGTCCCTGGAGTTAGTTTTGCTCGTCGAGTCTGAAATCGACGGGGCAAAGAGGCGATTCTCCCAGATCCAGCTCGACCAGAGAAGGCTGCGGGATATTCTTGAAGGTCCAATCAGCGTCGGCGTGGTGCGGGAATGGAGTGCGCAGGTGAAGTTATCAATGGTTGGGGAGACGGAGACGATAACAACAACACTTCTAGGAGAGACGGATGGCAATATCCCCTGGCCCTGGGGGTCCCATCTTGAGAAGATAATGAGCAGCGCCATGTGGAGGTCGGGTGACGGCGAGGAAGAGTTGCGGAGAAGGATGCTTGGGTGACGGAGGGTAGCAGACGACGGCGAGGAGGAGGCGCATCTCAAACAGAGGAAGAAGAAGAGGAAGGTTGAGAAGAGATGGGGGAGATCGAGGGATGTGTAGAGGAATTAAAAAATTGGGTTCCTTCAATTTTTTTGCTTAGGTCAGGGGTTGAATTGGGTTGGGTCATGATGTGGCAGGTCGAGTTTTATGACGTGGCAGGTTAAAATTGGATGAATCGTCATTTTTGGTTGCCACGTCAGCAAACCACTAACGGTGTTAGTGGAAACTAACGGAGAGTGACCAATCGTAAAACGTTAACTACTTTCAATGACCACGAATGGAATAAAATTCTTTTAGTGACCAAACGTGAATATTTTAGCACTTCCAGTGACCAACCTTGCAATTTACCCAAAAAAAACTATTCGCAATTCATGATAAATGAAATAATAATCTACAACACTTCCTCACTTCATTTAAAATCATTAATAAATTACTCAATACTTAATAACAAAAACATGGCTCACGAATTCATAAAATCATAGCTCAATATCTCACAAAGTTCTTGGGCTATTGAAAATATTTATATAGAAAACTGATTTCATAGTTGACGTTAATTTTCTCCTTTAATATTGACTTTCTAGCTCCATCTAGTAATGTTTAGGAGAGACTTATATGTCGCCTTACTCCATTGACGTGTTCCAGTATCTAATTAGGCGCGAAATCCCTAAGCGAGGCGTTTTACCATTGCCTTGCGCCTAGACGTACCTAAGTGTAAGGTTAAGCGTGCCTTTTTGAACCATGGATAACAGGCAAAGCAAACGCACCACCCGCGGAAGAGAAGAATCTCGTTCCATAATCCAACCACACATATCCACCACCGATTCAATCCAACCCGAAAACAAATATGAATGAATAGCAAATCATTATTATACCAACTCACTAATAAACAACTCATTTAGTTTAAAATCAAAACCCACCCGCCACTAAAGTTCCTCCCATACAAGAAAAATAGGGTAAATACAATTTAATATCCAAACCTTTCATTTTAAACAATATAATAGCCAAACCTTTTCGAAAGCAATCTAATATCCAAATCGTCGACTTTTCGTTCGTTTGACCGTTAGTTGACACTTCAAAAAAGCTTTGTTTAGGGGAAATTGTCACAATACAACTTTGTTTCTTGTTTTGGCATTGCAGATGACTGAATATTTAGATATTCTATACCATCATGGTGGAGTCATGGACTTCTCGGGTTAGGAACTACGACATGTTGGTGGTTTTTCAGAGAAGATATCGATGGATATTGATGAAGTGTCGTACTTCGAACTTTTTTGAAGTGTCAACTAACGGTCAAACAGATAGAAAGTTGACGATTTGGATATTAGATTGTTTTCGAAAAGGTTTGGCTATTATATTGTTTAAAATAAAAGGTTTGGATATTAAATTGTATTTACCCAGAAAAATAAGAATGAAAATGACTAAATGAAGGGCCCCCCCTAACCGAGGGGTAGTTTCGGGAAATTAAGGAGAAATCTTGCCACTCTGTGAAACTCCGCCTTCTCCGCTCCTGCAGGGCTGAAGCGAAGGCCAGATCAGGGAGGGAAATTGACTCTTTATCTCTTTTTCTTCTCTTCTCTTCTCTTCTTCTTCCTATAAATACGGAGCCACCGCCGCTCTCTCTGAAACAAGCCCCTAGGCGATTGGCGGCTGTGGCGCGTAAAAAAACAAACAAAAAACAGCCGACTAATTCTCGCCCAGAGTATGGGAGCTGAAGGATTGCCTCGGCCGGCCACCACGAACGGTGAGATTGCGCCTCATCATCATCCTCCTGAAATTCTGGGCCTTCAGCCGGCGGCGCTCATCGACCACGTGGCTCGGGTCGATTTGTCGTTGCTGGATCGAATCCCCGGCGACCGCGGCGGCTCTATTCCAGTAAAGCTCCGTTCTTGACCTCCTGGTTACTGTGAAGCTAAATACTTGCACTTCGCTCTTTAAATGCTCACCGCGTGTTTGTTTATTTGCGCCAATGGGCTAAAATTATGCAATTTTTGGTATCGGAATCTGCATCGTGATGGGGCCGCGTGTTACTGAAAGCGTATTTATGGCAAGAATCGACATTCTTTTTCCATAATTACTGATTGCACTACGGCTGGAATCATTGATCTCTGACAAGGGTTCTGCTTCAGTTTGGTTTACCAAGATTCTTCTTCTTAATGAATATTTGAAGTTGTTCTATAACAGACTTACCATTTGGCCTTCTTCTGCATAATTGAACTACTTCATGTGTCTCTTGGAAGGGAAATTGATGGGGCTATAGCTTTTGGCTTTTTGTAGGTTGCAGTGGAAGAGCTGGAGGGTATTTTGAAGGAGGTCAAGACTCACGTGCTTGCATCTCCTGATGGTTCTTCCGTTGCAAAGACAATTGCTGGAGGCAGCGTGGCAAATACTATTCGTGGACTGAGTGCCGGTTTCGGATTGTCTTGTGGGATCATTGGGGCTTGTGGGGATGATGATCAAGGCAGGCTGTTTGTTAGCAACATGACCTTTCATGGAATTAACATTTCAAGGTTGAGGTCCAAGAAAGGATTTACTGCTCAGGTACTCTATTTCTGTTTCCAAGGGTTTCAACTTTTTCTCTTGACAGTCTATTCCCAGAAAACTATTTTAAAAAAATCTTAATTGCTCGAAATTCCAGTGTGTTTGCCTAGTTGATGAGCTTGGAAATCGGACAATGAGACCTTGCCTTTCAAACGCTGTCAAAGTTCAGGTGCTTGCTTAAACTTTTCAGTCTCTGAGGGATGGGCTGCTTATGCTGGAAGAGCCGTTTGAAACACTTGGAAAGTTTCTCTCTTTTTTCAGGGTGAGGAATTAGTCAAGGATGACTTCATGGGCTCCAAGGTCAGTTATCTGTCTACATAATAGTTTCCAAATTGTTTCTGCTTGCATTATCCAAAAAATACCAGAAAACAGGTTGCCTTTTCTAGAAGATATTTATCTGACAAAGTTACTCACTTGCTACAGTGGCTGGTAATGCGGTATTCCATATTCAATTTGGAAGTTATCAAAGCTGCTATCAAGGTTGCAAAGCAAGAGGGTGTTTCCGTTTCATTGGATTTAGCTAGTTTTGAGGTATATAGTTTTAGATTGCACCCCAAAAATTTCACCCTTGAGTAAATGGTCCATGTTTCCATCCAGATAACGTTTCTTCTCCCATGTACTTCTCCACTTTCCTCAGATGGTCCGGAACCATAGAGTTCCTCTGATGGAGTTACTTCTATCAGGAGATGTAGACCTCTGCTTTGCTAATGAGGACGAAGCTACAGAGCTTCTGAGGTATCTATCAGTTTAGTAGCATTCATTGTCCAACAATCTACAGAGTTACGAAATCAAAAGTCCTCTTTAACCGATGGTCTCTGGTGATTTTTGTTAGAGGCGAGGCAAATGCTGATCATGAAGCTGCCCTTGAATTCCTGGCCAAACACTGCCGGTGGGCTGTAGTCACCCTGGGTGCAAATGGCTGCCTTGCAAAGCACGGAAAGGAGGTTGGTAATTTTGATTTTCCTCTATGCCTCCACCAATTTCCCTCAATCGTGTATGATTGAATCTCTGGCCGCTCATTTTAACAGGTGGTTCGAGTTCCAGCCATTGGAGAATCGAAGGCAGTAGATGCTACCGGTGCAGGGGACCTTTTCGCGAGCGGGTTCTTGTATGGTCTGACCAAAGGATTGAGCCTCGAGGAATGCTGTAAATTTGGTTCGTGCAGTGGCGGTTCTGTGATCCGATCTCTAGGTGGTGAAGTGACTCCAGAGAATTGGCAGTGGGCGTACAAGCAAATGCAGGCCAAGGGCCTCCCCATCCCTGAAATCCGAAATTGATTCCGAGGTTAACAGATAGCCTTACCAAATATCTTATGAGCCATAGTCTGTTCAGGTCAATTTGTTCGATATGGAAGCTTGCAGTAACAATGGAGGAGGCTGCTGTTTATTGTTGGTATTTTGGGGGTATGGGTTGTTAACTATTCGAATGCTGAAATGTGAAATCTTTCTCTCTTATCAAAGATGTTTTCCAAGTTCATAGTATAGAAAGATTTCATTCCATATGAACTCAAGCCTACTAGTTGATTCTTAACTGAAAGCTTTCGAAGTATGTGATTCCACATGAGTACACGTCAAATGTAGTGCAGAATCAGTGGCTAATACATATGAGTCCAAGTGGATACTTCCATGGATGTAGAAACAAAAGCTACGTACAAAATGATGCAGCGCCACTATGAGCCGACCAGCAATTTGTTTATGGCAAGGCCTGGAGAAAGAACAAGAAAAGACTCCAAAGTTCGAACTTGGCGGGACCTTAGACGACGTCATCTCTTTAAAAAAAAAATTGTTCTTTTTATAATTTATTATTATTTATGTCGTGGATATTTTTTAGCAACTAACCAGCCATGCAAATGGACATAATTTAGAAACATAAATAAATATAGCTTAACTTGGAGTAGCAGTTTCTACCTAACATAATTGTAAATATACAAAATCCTTACCGACAAAATTTGTCTGCATATAAGTGAAACAATTTTGTTTGTTTTAATATATTTTCGAAAAGAGAGTATGTATGCAACTTCGGGTTGGTCTAGTTGTAATATACTAATATCAGATGAGATTATACAACACGCTTTGTGTTTGAACCTCTATAATCTACATTTATATAGAGAAATAGTAAGAGAATATCTATATGAGACTCAATTCTTGTTGTTTAGTTATAATTGATCATTTCTTTAGCGTAGTCTCAGCCTATTTGTCTCATTTGAGAGCACACGATATATATAATTATGTCCAAATTGTCCATCGTACAAGATAACATGATACATTTATGTTTGATTACATGGTGTATCAAAACATTGTTCTAAATATACCCAAAAGACAAAAAAAAAAAAAACAACTCACTAAATATCATCCCTGAAGCCGATGGATGACGAGGATAAAGGTGGGATGCTTTGCGGGTGATTAAAAACATTATCTGAATCGATAATCGTCTTAGCCATCACCAACCGATCAAAGTTACCCAGAAAGTACTTCTCACCCCAAACCCTAGCAACTTCAACACCACCCTCCTCCTCCTCCTCCTCCTCACTACCCACAACTCCCAAATCAAAATCCAAATAATTAACATAAGCCCTTCTAGGATTACTTGACACAAAAGGTGTCATCAACTCATAGAACTCCCTAATCCAACCCAAATACCCTTCACTATTATCACCATCCTCCTCTCCCCACTCCACCAAGTACTGAATTGTAAACAAATTCCCCTTCCTATGAGGAAAAGCAATGGAATCCTCACTGAAATTACTCATCACCCCTCCATAAGGGTCCAAAATCACATACCCTTTGGGCTCCCTCTCCAGAATCTCAACAGCCAATTCAATGCCCTTCATGGGAATTTCACTCCTCACGTAGTCCGATTTGGCCTTGAAGTAATGCTTATCTTCCAAATACCTCTCTTTCAAGTCAGCAACCGAGCTTCCCGGGTTCAACCCGGAGAAGAAAACCACCGACTCGATCCAGCTCATTTCTTCGCACTCATTTTCCCCCAGGCCCAACTCGGGAAAATCCCGGCCCAGCGTGGATAGTGCTTCCGACTTCGGGCCGAGGTACAGCCCTTTGAACGTTGCGGAGATTTGATGGGCTTGTTGGGCCCCTGGCAGGCCCGCTCCGACGAAGCACGACAAGTAGAAGTCTGGTTCTAGTTTCGGCGCGACGTGCTGCCACTTGTTGACTAATTTGGACACGCCGTTTTGGGCCGCCGGCTGTCTTGAAACGGCGAAAGCTGTAACCTTTGTTGGTACTTTGAGCAGCTTGATCTTCCATGCATAGACGATCCCCCACGCGCCGCCGCCGCCGCCGCGTATTGCCCAGAACACGTCCTCTCCCATGCTCAGCCGGTCCAGCAGCCGGCCGCCAGCGTCGACCAGGAGCGCATCCACCACGTTGTCCGCCGCCATACCGTACCTGTGTCGAGCATTGTTAAACATGTTAGTCCTTCAACATAACCTATGCAAATGCAGGTAATATCGCGATTTTAGGGAGAAGCGTTTTAGTGATGTGGAAGAGTAAAAACAGTAAGTTTTTAAATTTTAAAGTCTAGATTTTGACTACACTTTTAGGTTGAATGTACGATTCTACGTATTAGCATTTTGGTGACATAAGAAGTGTTAAAGCATTAAACTCTTAAGTTGTAAAGTACGATGTTGACTACACTGACCTATATATGCATACTGTATTTTACTATCGTATCAAGATGGTCTAAGCTCAATAAAATTTAAATATATTAGAAACTCTATCGTACCAATCGGTCTTCCCAAAAACACTGCATATCGGAGACCAGTGATATACAGTTTAGAGGTACAAAACTTTTTAACCACAATTCAAACATAATTTTAATATAAAATAACAAGGGTTAAAAAACCGTACCGTATCAGCAGTTCTATCAGAAAAACCTTCTACCAGAAGTGAAACCGGTAGGCAAAATTTAGCGATATGAAATAGCTAAATCACAATTCAATTTCAGTATAAAATACTATACCGCTAACTTTTTCAATATGAACTCTCCTATACAAAATTTTCAATCCTTATTAAATACCAGGGATTAACTCTTCCGATATAAACTTCTTCATTCAACTTTATACCTTCTTGACAACAATCCATAGCCGCCGCCGCCAATATGTCCACCGACGCCAACAGTGGGGCAGGAACCCGCCGAGAACCCCAGCCGGCCATCGCTCCCTTCCGCCACCGCCGCATAAGTCTCCCCAAGCGTGGCTCCTCCTTCAACCCACGCCGTCTCGCTCCTTGAATCCACCGAAACCGCATTCAGCCTCATCAAATCCACGATCACAAACTCCCCGCCGTCCCACGCCGACGAAGCCCCCTCGTAGCTGTGCCCGCCGCACCTCACTTTAATCTCCGCCTTCCCTCTGCAGCACGTCACAACTCCGACCAATTGCTCCGCCGTCGACGGCAGGACGATGGCGAGCGGTTTCGGGGTGTTGGGTCCCTGGAAGCGGAGGTTTTGGATCGAGTAGTCGAGAAGGTTGTAGAAGGAAGTTGTGGCTGATGGGTCGTCGGTGGTGGACGAAGGGAACGTGGTGAAATTGTGGATTTGGTTTTGGAGGAAGCACGAGGATAGGAGGAATCGGACGTCTGCTGCTGTGGGGGGAAGGGAGAGCGAAGTGTGAATGTGAAGGGATGAAAAACAGAGCAATAGTAGTGAATGGAGAAACAGAGTGTTGTTGGGCGCCATGGTGGAAAATGAGAAATCTTTTGAGGTGTGGTGGTGGGGGGAGAAATTGGGGTTTTGGGTTTTTATTGAGGATGAATTGGAATCGTTTTTTTGTGTTGTTTGGGATGATCCTACGATGGAAGAAAACGACGGGAGAAGAAAGGTGGAATTGGACAAACATTGGCCGGCCTCTGTTTCGTTTTCTACATTTTTCTCCCCTGTTTTGGTTGATTTTGTGGAGTTGAAACACACATGGCGATTGGAGAGGAAGTTCAGGTGTTTGGCTAATTGGGTTGGGGAATTGGAAGGGGACAAGAGAGAAGAGAACAAACGTTTTGGACGCTATTTGCAGAGTATAGTAGTAATCCAAACTTATGGTTTCATAGGAGGAAAATGTGCTTTCATGGTGCGGCGGCATCTACAGAAATGTTAGTGTTGACATGTCTTTTGTTTCGGTTCTAGTTTTCTATTTGGCAACGGCTATGGCGGAGCATAGAGATTTGTTTAGTAGCGAGTTAATCAATGAGTAGCTAGTTTTGAACCTGTCAATTTGGAGACTACAGACTAGTAACACTCACACATAAATACATAATATTTGGTGATAACTGTTTTGATACTCTCGTACTTTATATTTACGTATTCTATACATTTGATGTTGCACGAACATTCGACATTTCTTTCATGTTCCAACTTTCAGCACACAATTGAACGATACTCCAGCATCAAACGATACTAACAACTACAAGGTTTTTAAAATTGTCTTTCACATGGAACCACTACAAAACCAAGAAATTACTTCATGTTAGTTTTGGAATCAGCATGGTGTAAGCTTTTCCTAGGATTCTAAGAATTTCTCTGTTTCCAAGGTATACAAATGGGTGTTGATTAGAACTGAAACAGACAAGTGAAGATTAGCAGTTTAAGCCAAATTATGGGTCTTTCTCATTAGCAATCTCCATTTAGGTGCGCGTACCAATCCCCATAATCCTGCCGTAAACAAATTCCTGTCTTTGATCGAGTCCAGTTGAGAGTGTCCAAATTGAGAACTCCGCCAACCTTTTCTCCTAAACCCATCACTTTCAATTCAATGGGATGTATAACAACAACAAAATAAAGATATCCAAACGGCCAAACCTGACATCAACATAGAAGAGCCGTCTATGCAACCACTGTAAAGGCCTCCAAAGAAAGATTGCATTTACTTGTAATTACTAATCAAACAGTAAACATAATGCAGATTGCAGAATGTTACTATCGCATAGAAAAAGAAACTTTTGACTCGGCTTTAATCTGTAAGGTCACAGTTTCGTGATGATCATAATGAAGGTTGCTACTGATTCTAATAGTTAAATGTAGCAAAATATAATGTTTGATAGATCTTAAGAGGGAGGCTTAAAGCTTTCAGATGTCTGCACCATATAACTCAAATCCATAAATTGCATCAAAAGATCCGCAAACAAGAAGAAGTCTACCATCAACTTGAGCAAACTAAGTCTCAGCCAAATCCTTGCAGAAGACATTGCTAACAAGACCCATCACCTAAAACATTGTGCCATTCTTCATATCTCCATCGGAGCTGCCCCTTCATCCGCGGCTGCAGGAGGATCCTGGGCGGCATCATCATCACCGCCAGCCCCACCGGCACCACCCTCTGGTTCAGCTGCGGCAGGAGCCTCCGATGCTGGCTCTTTCACAATCTCGAAAGCATCGATCAGCTTCTGGACGGCATCCTGATCCAGAATATGGAAAGGCTCGTTAATTCCCACCACAGCAACCGTGCAGATGGAGCTTTTGAGGGTCTCTCCCTGTAGAGTTTCCCGGACTGCAATTAGCGCATCCTTTACAAGGTCGTCTCGGGAGGAATCATTGAAACTCTCGAACCTACGCTCCAAGTAGGTTTTGGCAGCTTGCGAGCGGGATCCGATGGCAAAAGCCTGATACTCGAAGTAGTTTCCACTTGGGCAGTTGTAATAGAGGTGCGCTCCCGATTCGTCCAACCCGGCTACCAGCAGGCCCACGCCGTATGGCCGCTTCCAGGACCTCTGAGTGCAAACCTGAAAATTGAAAATTATATGGGATCGTTAAGATGATAGCTGAGTGGAGCTGACTGATAAAGAGCACCAACAGCAATGCAGATTGTCATTAAAGGGAAGATGAGGAATTACCAAACAAATGAGCAACTACAGATCATTCTATTGCAGTATGACAGATTTGTAAACCAAGTGTCAAGGAAGATGAGGAATTATCAAACAAAATTGAAATAAGTAGTCACAAACATTGGTACACATTCATGTTTCTTTCATCAACAGGCTAACTAGCAATGATCACACCTTAATTTCCTAAATTCAACAGGAGAAGTCTTAACAAGTATAAGAAATTCAGAAGGTCTCCTATCTGGATCATGCCTCAAGATAAAGAACTCGGAGTAGATACACACACTAAAAAATATATAATCAAAGCACACTGTGGTTGAAGGTTTGACTTGACATAGACAGCAACCAAAAGGAATCCATGAAGAAATAGGATTTTGTGCAGCTAAAAACATAAACCAGCCAGAGAGATTAGCTAAGCCGAACTACATTGCCACCCCTAGAGGTTATTAAGAATTTGGAGCCCCAAAATTTATATGACTACCACACACATACCACTGCTTTACGAGTTTACATAAAACTCAGCATCAGAAAACAGTGAAATAAAGTCCTCCAACTATACATCCTTGCACTAATTCATACAGGGCTCATTACCAGATCCACATTTATAACAGCTATCCTAAAGCGCATGGTCCATAATATATACCGACGAAGATATTCTAACAAGTGTAATCGCTAGCACTATGACTTTTATACACTTGTCCATGGTTAGTGAGGAATTCCAAAGCCTCAATCTGATCAAGAATGCCCTCTCAAACAATTGAGATTAGGATAGGCACACGATAGAGTGATGCAGTGAAGCATGGGACTTAAAGCTACAAGCTTTCTGCTCACAAATTAGGGTTCCAGCCTTCACGAAAACTAAGCAGAGCTCCTCCCAAATTCGACATTTCCTACACCATGCTCCCCCCATACTGAAACCCTAATCCATTCAAATCCCCTCAATTCAAAAATTTAATCAATCAAATACCTAAATAACCAATATCAGCGCCCGCGCGCACACAAAAAAAACCCTCAAATAGCGAACCCCAAAACGGACAAACCCTCGCACCTGAGCCTTGTCAGCGAGCTGAACGACGAGACGGCCGACGGGGAGAGGGGACTCGTATGTGAAGCTGTAATTGATGCACTCGGATCGCATGTACCGGGAGAGAACTCGCCCGTCGGCGGTGAGTCCAGCAATCGCAACGCCGATGTGGTCGTCGACCTTGAAGATCTTCCGCTGATGGGAAGAGAGCTCGGACTGAGCCTTGTTCACGCAAGCGAGGACCACGTGGGTCTTGGATCGGAGCCCAATTGCGGCGGAACCTTGCTTCACCGCTTCCATCGCGTACTCCACCTGGAACAGCCGCCCCGCCGGCGACCATGTCGTGACATCCGTGTCGTACTGGTTGCGGAACATTGCTTACTCGGATACAAGCTTCTCCGGTGAAGAAATCCGGTACTGGTTGTGGCGTATGAATGAATGTCGCGGCTGGGTGAAGACTGAAGGGTTATAGTGAAGAAGAAGGTGGGTTTTCTTTCTGCTCAAGTCGCTCGCGCTTTTGCCTTCGATGCTGCTTTGCCAAAAATGCGCCGATGCCTCTGAACTATGTTCTTCTAGCCGTTTTGCTCATTGGAGTTTTTCTAGACTTTTATTTGATCACTGAAATAATAAAATTGGTCGTCCGATGTCGAGCGGAGCTTTCGTTGGGTTTTGCTGGGCTTGTTGGTAAATAGTTTTGGATAATATTTGGGCTGTCGAGTTGGATTATAGTTCCACGTTAGGGTAAGCCTAACATGTAACGAATTGGGCCTACCTCCAACAGGCAACAGGGTTTGATGACTTGACCCTTAGTTGCTTCGCTATGAATTTCATATGTTTTTTTAGAAACACTATGAACTTCAATTCAATTGTTTCTTGGTATTATCACCCAAATCGTATTGCAAAACTTTTTATATTACTAATGTAGTATTGAGTTCAATCTTATTTGTAATCTCATTTTGTCGTTGGGTCAAACTGAATGATTCGCGAACATATTAACATTGTTATGATCATTATTGTATGTAATTTAAAGAAAATATATTTAAACTTTGTAATTGATTGATTAGTCATTTGATTAACCAAATGACCATTAATGTATTTTTTTTTGTCAACTAATGATTTGAATCTCAGTATTTACATCAAATTGGATAACCACAAAATCAAATATTATAAGAAAGAAATATAATCTAATTCAGTTTCGACTTGAAACTCAAGATTTGTCAATACTTTTTATTCCATTAAATTGCTTTCAATGCAATAAAATTAATGGAGCAAAATTAAATCAGACTGAACAGGATCAAGTTAAATACGCTTTACAACCATTCTTGTCCTCATAATGTGCCCTATATTTATGATACAATGTGGACAAAACCGAGCCATATACCGTTGTTAGCGGAAAGCTAGAAACCATGCAGAATCTGGAGCTCTACCATGTCTGTTCTTGTCCTTCTTTGTGATTCGACATTCACAGGCAAAAAATGCATACAAAATTCGGCATCTCGTTTTCTAAGTGAACTAATAATCGATCAAAAGGAAATAAACAAATTGATGATTGATCAAAATCACACCTAAATCATCCGGTGCTTCGATCCATGTGTGTGTATACATTCATATCAAGAAGTCAATGAAATAGGGGGTTGAAATGGGCGGTTCTTGTCCTAATACCCATAAAGAAAGGGGATACAGTTATAGCGCTCTACATTACTATCATGAAACTTGATGCATATGAGCATCAAGGTTAAAAGAACACAGCAGCTAGCAGAAAAGTTTACTTGGCCTCCTTCAGTTATTCCACCATTACGATTCCGTATGCAATGGATCTGTTGCATTTGAAACAGCAACTTTTGACCAAGCAAAGTTTAAGAATGATGTCCGGAGCAAATATTTATCGCCACTAGATTATGGTCCTAAATGGGATTTTGCAAGCATACCGCTACTATGATTATCGGATATGTTCCCATCATTTTGGTCTCTCGTACTTCCACCTCGGACACATGAAGAAGCTGCAGCATAAAAGAGGATCATGTAATGCATCAGAGACTCGATTATTAGGACCAATTCCTCAAACTGTAGCTCCAAATACACCGAAAGCTAACAGGAAAAAAGTTGCAGTGAAATTCCATACCCTATTATTGAAGACGATGCCATGGCTTGTGAAAGCTTTGTGCTCTCCTTCGCAACGAGCTATTACTTCTGGTCTGCAGTACTTCTTCAAAGCTTCAGTCTCCCTGCTCATACATTATACAACCAGACAATTTTATATCTTTACTGAATTCATTGTTTTTGGTAACCAAAGTGATTATAGAAAGACATGAAGTGGGACAGGCATATATCAGACATCAGTAACAACCTTCATATAAGCAGTAAGGACAGGTCTTATGGCATCTTGAACCTCTGACACAAAGTCTGGCAAAGAGAATGATCTGGCATGTAGGAACCCAAAAGGAGAAGAGCAGGTTTAGAGTATGATCCCATATCATTAGGAAAATAATTTGAAAGATACACAATGAAAAGACGGCTATCAGTTCACATACGGATCATGTCAACGTATTTCCTTGATAGATGCTGTAGCATCTGTTTCTTCAAAGATGTTATCACTGACACTGTCACTGTCACAAGGAGAAAAGGTTAAGTTGTGAATAAAATGGCTCAAATTATTACCCAACAGTCCATACAAAAAGGGCACATGGGTCGAGCATACTATTGGATTTTGTGAACAATGGGATTTTCACTTGTCTCCCATCTTTCCCGCATGTCTTCTGCAAGTTGTTGATTAACACGACAACGGACTTATATGGAAAACAATATAAACAAAGATGACACCAACAAAGTCCAAAGCAGAAGTAAATGAACTAAGCAGAAAATACAGAAAGGGATGAAGATTATACATCTTGACTCTTCGTCACAACAAGTTCACTAATCCCAGAGAAACGCTTGAAAACAGGATTGCCTTGCATCTGTGAATTGGAGCGGGTAAAGTAATTAACTGATATTAGAATGATGATCCATATACGAGCAGGTCTGGTACTCTTGAAAAAAACTGAATGCTAGCATAAAGAGTACTACACCTTTTTTCTGAAAGCCTGCCACTTTTCATTCAAACGTGACTGCTTTGGACTCGACATTGGAACAACATCATTATTTTTTCTTCAAAATCGGATACAATATATAATACAGTGAACATGACAATATTATTACGTTCAAGAATCATTCAGTCCAGCCCAACAACACAACAAGGTTACAAACAAGATGGAATTCATTCGCACTAGAGGTGGCAATTAGGATCCAAATCCATGAATCCAATCCAATCCATCCACCAAATTATCCACCTAATCCAATCCATTTAAATCCAATCCATTTGATCCAAATCCAATTGGATTGGTGGATTCATGGATCAATCCATGGATCCAAATGGCAAATTACGATTTGATACCTATATTTTTTATGTTTTACATTTTGGTACCTAAAATTTGTATTTTTATACGAAAAATATCATTGGAAAATTACATTTTGGTACCTAAAATTTTTAATTATGACATTTTAGTACCAAAACTTTTCAAAATTTACATTTTGGTCCAAGCCTTTGATGTCATTTGGATTCATGGATCAATCCACCAATCCATTTGATCCAATCCATGAATCCACCAATCCATTGGATCCAATCCATTTGATCAATGGATCCACCAATCCAATCCACGAATCCGATCCACAGAAATGTTCACTAATGACTTATCCGTATAACAGGTTAAACCTCTTTTGTAGCAGCAGAAATCTTCTCCTTGACACTTGATGAAACCTGAAACAACATAGATTAACAACGACAAGTAAGTATCATTCATAATGAAAAAGAGCGTGCACAACTTATTGTCAATCCCAACCATACTTTCTTAGCAGTTGCTTCAGCCTCTGTCCATACCCCATCAACATGCTTGTACAGCTTTTCAGTTGTCTGCTTCGTTCTGCATTCGCCATTTCACCATCTCAGGCCCTCCCTTGACATACAAAGGTATGTCTCAGCCTATGAAGTAACAATACCAAAATGAGATCCCCACAAACACAACTAGTCTACTAGATTACCTAACTCGCAAGTCATCTTTAACGCCTTTAAATTCTCCAGCTTTCTCCTTCAATTCCTTAACTGACTTCTTAAGCTCTGGATTTCTGAACCAACAAAATGGCCGCAAATTTATCCTCCTCGTGTAACCAACAAAATGTGATCATAACAATTTGCCAGGATGGAATGAAGCTAAACCGCTCGCATATCATTCTCAAGACAACAACAAATAACAAAGTTTCGGCCTTTGCCAGACACCCATCTCGGAAAAGAATGATACCATATCATCCCATGTAGCCAGCAAAGCAGAGAGGCACAGGTGGCCTCTTCCAAAGGAGAGAAGTCGGGCGAAAAGTAAGGTTAAGAGGGATGATAAAATACCTATTAATTTCTTCTTTAACATTATTGAAGACGCCAAACCTCCGGCAACATGTCCTCCTACTGTCCACCAGCAACCTTGACGTCGTACATAAACCCTAAACCACAAATGGAAAACAAGTTTAAGCTAAATCCCTGACGAGCAAAACCCTGCCCCACAGCAGAAGAGAAATAAGGAAAAACCTGAGGATGCTTGAGTTGCACGACAAGTGGCGTACTATCCAAGAGCAGGTCCCGTACAAGCTTTTTAGCTGCCATGATATGGAAACGTCGAAATAATCAGAAAAGCAATCGGTGGAAAAACAGGGGAGGATGGACGGGAAACTACGTGGAGAAGGAAGGGATGGGAAAAAAGGGGCAATCGATCTTGCATGAAGGAATGAAGGAAACGACGGAGTGGAATAGCAGTGTGTAATTGTGGAAAGTTATGCACATAAACCTAGTGTGGACGCGTCCGTATTCGACTAAACCCCTTAAGCAACTAGGCGCTATTTATATTATATATATATAATAATTAGTAATAGTAGTGTCCCGGGTTTGAATTACCCAAACTACCACTTATATTCTCATACGCAAACTACAAACAAGAGCAGTATGATCGTTTTCAAATTTTAGGGTGTCCCAGACTATTAGTTATAATTTTTTTGTCTATACGTAAATTATTACCAAGAATTGGATAATCGATCTTCCAAAATTTAGAGGTGTCCCGGTTCACCCCTAAATGCCCCCTGGGTCCGCCGCTGCCTGGTCGTGTGCGCGCAAATTCCTAATCATAACATATATGTAGTTGGTACGGCCACATATTTATATTTGATCGAAAACTACAAACTATAGGTATCAAAACACACATCTCCGCCTCCGGCCGTTATTCTAATATGTACGCCAGTCAGGCGATGTCCACCAACATTCAGGTTTAGCTCTGGCTAAGAAGAATATTGCTGGGGGCAACTAGGCTATAGCTTTTGGTAGAATATCCAGCGAATCATTGATGCTGCTATTTAAATGTGGGCTTGTGGCAAAGGTTAATAGATTCGTCTGATTGAAGTGTCGTGCGAGTGCGACCCATGCATATAAAGGAGCAACAACAGAAAAGAGATTCATCAGTAGTGCTTAGCTTGGATCTGCTCAGCCTTTCCCCACCTCCTAATTTTATTTGCTTTGGTTTCGATCTTCCATGTTATGTCGTCGATAATGTCTTTCTCCTTTTCTGGTCTTTGTTTTCTTCTATGGTCAAAGTCATTAGTACATATGTGTTGGTTTGACTAACTAATTGCGAGTTGTCGCTTTACAGTTTGCTTTTAGTTTGAGACAAATCAAGTGGATGATCATCTTCTTGCAAGATATATAACACACTAAAGAAGTTATGTGTTGATGTGACTTGAATCGGACTATCAGTCGGTACGACTGGAATAGTCGGGGGTCTCGCTGGCCGTGGAGAAGTATAAATACTTCTCATCTCCTCTGTAATCTGTAATCTCCTCGATATAGTGAAACTGGCTCTCTCTCGCCCGTGGACTAGCTAACACACATCGTGTTAGTGAACCACGTAAATCGTGTGTCGTGTTTTCGATTCTCGCTTTCGTATTCTTGCTTTGTCGATTACAGCAATTTTCTGATCCGTAGGAGCGCGTTTATAACATTATGATTGATTACCAACTTGTGTATTAGCGTCGACAATCTAATAAACAAAATAATAATGTCCCAATAGCATAAATTAAGATCTAATTAGTTGATTAATCGATCAATTATGGGGCAATTGTAGCGGTTAGCGGTTAAAAATCGCAACCGTACAAGTTAACCGCAAAAATCGACCGACCCAGACACTTAAGCCTCTCCTCAGTTCCCTCCTCCCCTAACCTAAATGACCTAAAATCTAAATGGCGAAATCGTGGCCTCTCCCTAGTCCCCTCTCACCCGCCGCTCCTCCCCATTTATGAACCCTAGCCCCTACCCTCGCCGGTCGCCGCCAGTCGCCTCGTCCCCGTCGAGCACGTCGGCCGTCGCAGCGCCGTCCTCACTCCTCTCGCTCCCAGCCTTCGTCGCATCGCCGCCCTCCCGCTCCCAGCCTTCACGTTGCCGCTGTCCTCCAACAGAACTCGTCGTCGCCGAACTCCCTCCCAGAACTCGACTCTTGCCAACGCTGCCGTCTTCTGCCCCGGAATCCCGCCGTCGCCCTGTTCTATCACCATCACCAATGTAAGTCCGAACTTGTTCCCTAAAAATCTTCTACTATTTGGCATTTGCAGTTAGAACTTAGAACAAATGCTGCCACCAAGGCTACGAGTCCAACAAATCCTGCCACCAAGGCTGCCGTCGTCTGTATATATGATGTAATGATGATATAGGTGTTTTATTTTTAAGATTATGTGGAACAGAACATTAGTAGTTAGTAGGGATTTTGTTTGGAGATTGGTAGTTAGTAGGGATTTGGTTTGCTAATTGTTGTATTTACATGATGCTAATTGTTCTATTTACTTGTTTTTATTGATTAAAACAGGGATAGAGGTGGACGTGGTAAGAAACCACGTGGTCGTGGTCGTGGAAGAGGAGAACAAGGAGCAAGAGGTGCTCCTCCTCCGGCTTCTCAGCCGCGGGTTCCTTAACAACCTGCTACTCCTTCTACCGGAGTTACTAGAGCCGGAGGAGTTACTCCAAATGTGGCGGCTACAGCTGAGAATGTAGAAGGTATTGGAAGAGATAATGTAGCAGCGCCGACTGGAGTCGAGAATGCAAATGTGGAAGCTGGGGGAGATGCAGCGGGGAGTGCAAATGATGCAGCAACAAAGAAGAGGAAAGCTGAATGTTGGAATGTCTTCACACCGATACTGGTTGATGGCTACCCATTTGGTGAATGTATATTCTGCAAGACGAAGATTGCAGCACATCCAAAGTTTAATGGGACAAGTGCAATGAATACACATAGGAGAGCATGTGCGAGGAAAAGGCAGAAGGAGAGTGATAGCTCTCAAACTTTGTTGAATCTGCAGTCAACATCTACAGCTACTGGTGGTCAGGTAGGATCTCTTTCGACATGGAAGTTTGATCAGACTAAAACAAGGATTGGTCTAGCTGAGATGATTATATTGGATGAGCTTCCCTTTAGATATGTCGAGCGCTAAGGCTTTAGACGATTTATGGCATTGGCGCAGCCCTTGTTTGTGATACCTGGTAGGCTTACTATTAGAGAAGACTATTATCGTATCTTCCTTGAAAGAAAAGATATCCTGAGAGATTTCTTTGTCACAAAATGCAAAGGAAGAATTTTGATAACGACAGATACATGGACTTCTATTCAGAATGCAAACTATATGTGTGTGACTGCTCATTATGTTGGTAAAGATTGGAAGTTGGTGAAGAAGGTGATTTGCTTTGTTGAGGTGACTAGTCATACTGGACTTGATATAGCAGAGACATTGTGTACTTGTCTAGATGAGTGGAACATCAAGAGTTTTTGTTGCATCACAATGGACAACGCTAGTGCGAATGATGTTGTGGCTAGTTACATGATAGAGAAGATGCATGAGTGGGGGACAAATATGTTGGATGGGAGGTACTTGCATTTTCGTTGTGTTGCTCACATCATCAACTTAGTTGTCACTGATGGCTTGAAAGAAGTGGGGATTTCGGTTGAAAAGGTTCGAGATGTTGTGAAGTGGGTCAAGTCATCTCCATCAAGACTTACCAGATTCAAGGCGGCTGCTGATTTTCTTAAGATTGAGACCAAGAAACTTGTGTGTTTGGATGTTCCCACAAGGTGGAACTCCACCTACCTCATGCTAGAGTCTACAGAAAGATTTGAGAAAGTATTTACTTTCTTATATGGACAAGATGAGAGCTTTAAGAAGTATGTGGATGCAAAGAGAGGTGTGCCAACACAAGAAGATTGGAGTAGTGTGAGAAGGCTGATGAAGTATTTGAAGTTTTTCTGTGATTTGACTGCGCGTGTATCTGGCATGACAATCTAAATCTTTAAAGGCGAACTATATGTTCTTTTTCTTATTACTTCAATTTATGTT